TGACCTACGCAAACCCTTGCTGACGTCAATACTATTTAATGCCATAATTCTGCTTAGCTAAGCGGGAAATCTTTCTTTATATTCTGCCTGAGAGGTGGGAGAACCCTGTCCCCAATGTTTATAGATGGAATGAATTCCAAATCCTCAATAACTGCAGCTTTCTTTTGACAGCTGTTTTCGAACAGTACTAGGAGATCATTATGCAAACTGAGGCTCCTATCTCCAAATTCTGTTAGACTAAATTAGGGGTCCCCAAACTTGGCAATGTGAAGATTTGTGGACTTCAACAGCATTCAACTTGCCTTCTGGGAGTCGAAGTCCACAAATCTTAACATTGCCAAGTTTGGAAGACCCCTGGTCTAAATTATCCTACTTTGGACATCTTATGCCAAGACTCAGCTCTCTTGAAAAGGCTCTCGTGCTTGGAAAGATGGAAGGAAAGAGAAGAAGAGGATGGCTAGAAACAAGGGGGGGGGGGTGGACTGACTTAATTACGATGGCAATGTGGGCACCATTGGAAAACTTGAAAGAACGTATTAGGGACCGATCATCATGGAGAAAATAAATTTACGTGGTCGCTAGGAGTCAGAAATGACTGGATGGCACATAATCACTCACTCACTCAGTCAATCAATCAATCAATCAGTCTTTCAATTCTGTAGAACAATTCAACAAACTAAGGGGTGAACTAGCAGAAAGAACTGATTTTGATACCATAAAACCTTCATTTGCTCATCCTTTGTTTTAACATGATCCCAGCATAAAAACCTAAAGTGCATTTTTAACTTAGTGTGTTGGACCCAACTGATGTGTTTAGATTATAACTGGTGTGTAATATTGTATGGATTAGTAAACAGCTCATCATTAATATAACTATAAGCTGAATCTGCTTTAAAACCAAGTGTAACTTGTCATGTTATAGCAACCCATCCAGTTGTAGCTTATTGAAAACATGACAGTTAAACTAAGTCACAGTTTTATATTGGAATGACCAAGAAAGTATTTAAATCAGGGTTCATTTCTAATGCCTCCAAGTTGTATCCTGTTGTTCTTCTGGAATGAAGAAAGAAGTCATAGGAGAACCACAGAATAATAAAATTGGAAGGGACCTTGGAGATCTTCTAGTCCAACCCCCTGCTCAAGCAGGAGACCGTGTACCATTCCAGGCAAATGGCTGTCCAATCTCTTCTTATAAATTTCCAGTGATGGAGCACCCACAACTTCTGAAGGGAAACTTTTCCACTGGTTAATTTTTCTCACTGTCAGGAAATTTCTCCTTATTTGTAGGTTCCTTCTCTCCTTGATTAGTTTCCATCCGTTGCTTCTTGTGCTGCCTTCAGGGGCTTTGGAAAAAGGATTGACCCCTTCTTCCTCGTGGCAGCCCCTCAGATATTGGAACACTGCTGTCTTTTTCCTAGAACTAGAATCATCTTTGCCTCTTCATTTTCACAAATATAAAATGTGCCCATTAACTCAAAACTGGCAACTCTAAGTTAAAACAAGAGCCTGTCATACAGAGGTACACAAAGGCTGTTTTGCAGAGGTTCTGCAAAATGGAAGAATAGTCACTGAAAAATGACCCCTTTCCAATTTCAGTCCTATTTCTGTTCACACAGAGACCATCACTAGAGTTCAGATGGTTTCAGTCCAGCTGGCAGGTTGTGCCTGCCTGCCTATCTATCTAATATGCAGTCCATCTCACCGCGAACCTCTTATTTCTATTTTTAAATAAGATGAACTAGAATATAAAGAGTAAATCCTCATTCCTTCTAGCGCTGATGATTTTACCTAGTTTGGTGATGAAAACGTCTGCAAGAAAACCGCCAAGCTCAGAGAGCACCGAGGACCCCAAAGAACAGACAATGTTGTGATCCACTTTCCCTCAGCATAGGCAAAATAATAACTTTGTGTGCTAGACACGTTTTGTGAGAAGGGGCCAGTTGTAAACTGTGCAACCTCTTGCATAAAATGGCCACCTATCAGGTGAGGAAAAAAAAATGCACTGGGGGTTCTTCACCATGCAGTGTGCCGAAGACTGCAGTGGACAGAACTATATTTATTTATTGAGAAAATGCAGTTCTGTTGAGGACAGAGAACATCCTGCGTTCGTGTCGGCGTTAGAACAAGATGCATTTCATTAGAAAAAAGACATGCGTTTGGTTTAAAAGAAGAAAAAGCACGAGTGTTACGGGTACCGGCTTACTTCACAAGATGAAGTTAAGTTTGAAGGAATAGCATCATAATCAAAGAGCTTCATGGTTTTATTGGCTCTGATCCCCTTTCAGCCTTTGGAGAGCAACTGTTTTACAAAAGCTGTTTTCTACCATTCCTGCTTTTCCTTTGCATAATTTAGATCAATACTGACATGCAGTGGCCAGTTCAGTCTGCCAAAATATACTGGTTTTCTTCCTTCGGTCTCTTTTTAGCCGTCGGAGCCTCAGAACGGATCCACTAGAATAAGAGAGTTGGAAGGGACCTTGGAGGTCATCTAGTCCAAACCTCTGCTCAAGCAGGAGACTCTATACCATTTCAGACAAATGGCTGACCATTTGTCTGAAAGCTTCCAGTGTTGGGAGCACTCACAACTTCTGGAGGCAAGTCGTTCCACTGATTCATTGTTCTCACGTTTAGGAAATTTCTCCTTAGTTCTCGGTTGCTTCTCTCGTAGACGAAGATGCTGCTATCTTCCCTTGGAGAGCTTTGAATTTGAAGAGTGGAAGGTACAAAAGCTATCATGTTTGCCTCGTGCACACAAAGAAAATTTGGAAATAAAAGGGTTAGGCGTTAGGCTTACGTTCAAGTTCTCATGAAGGGGGAAGTCCATCCCAGCCCTAGAATTCTATGTTATCTACAGCAGGGGTCACCAACCCCTGGTCCGTGGATCGATACCGGGCTGCAGCAGGCCAGCAACCGGTCTGCACAAAGAAGCACAGCCCCATCCGTGGGATGCAGGCAGCACACAAAACCACACCCCTTCTGGTCCGTGGAAAAACCTCTCTCCACGGAACCGGTCCCTGGTGCCCACAAAAGGTTGGGGGCCTCTGCTCTACAGGTTGGAAAAGATATATATCTCTAATATGGGGGGGGGAGTGTCATACAGGTAGTTCTCAACTTACAACCACATTTGAGCCCAACGTTTCTGTTACTAAGTGAGATAGTTGTGAGTTTTGCTCCCTTTTGCAAGCTTCTTAAGTGAACCGCTGCAGCTGTTGAGTTAGTGACACGGTCGTTAAGTGGCTTCCCCCCCCCCATTGACTTTTCTGGTCAAGAAGATTGCAAAAGGGGATCAGGTGACTCCGGGACATTGCGACCGTCATAAATAGGAGACGGTTGCCTAGCATCCTGAATTTTGATCACATGACCATGGGGATGCTACAAAGGGTCGTAAACATGAAAAAGGGTTGTATGTCCCTTTTTTCAGTGCTGTTGTAACATCAATTGGTCACTAAATGAACTGTTGGAAGTGGAGAACTATCTGTTATTAGGGATTGAGATTTAATAGTTGTGGTTTTACAGAGTGGGATAAATGCTTATTCTAGCTATTTTTTTCTTGGCCAGACCACCCCATTGCAAGAATGTTAACTGAAGGCCCACCTTTTTAACTCTTAAATTTATTCTACCCTTGTTTTTAACTCCTCCTTTTATTGAGATATAAAATTTTTAGGGTTATGTTTTTAATTATACATCTCCCGGAAACGCTCTAAAAGTTGAGATGGACAGGATCTACACCGGATAAACAAAATCATACCGTATTTTAGATTGCCCTGTATTCAAGGCTTTTAACTACCTACTCATTATCCCTCGCCTTATATTTTTTACAAACTCCCTACCATACATGGAGTTAAAACGTTTAACTTAACCATGTAACTTTTCTCAGCAGGCAGGACAAATCATTACAAATTGATTTCAAAGTCTCAATGGTCTTTGAAGCGATTAAAAAAAAATCATTCAGACAAACAATGAGGGCTTAATTATATCTTCTTCCCTTTAGGAAAAGAAAGCATGTGAATCCATTGTAAAATCAATGTTTTCCTTCCTTGAATGGCCAAAGTGTGGAAGACATTGAGATTTTCCAAGCTTCATTCTACCCATTAAAAAAAACCTGCATTCTCTTACCCTTTGTATAAAATATAGTATCTGTAAAAAAAAAAAAAGCGCTTATTTTTTGTAAAATCTTTCGCTCTTTGAGAAGAGTAATTACTTTGATCGTCCAGATTCTTACAAAGCCTTCCACAACAAGCTGGTTAAATTGACAGGTTAGGCCTTTGATTTTCTTTTTTATTGTCCTCACTGTTATTACAAGGTACTGAAATCAGACATTTTTTTATAGTAGCTTTTTCAATGTTTTTATGACAGAAAAGCCAAAATGGATTTTTTGAAAGGGAGGAAAAATACCAGGTAAATTTAGTCTCTTCTTTTGATCAAAATAATTGGCTTTATAGATAGACCACAGGAATTATACCAGTGGTTCTCAACCTTTTTAATGCCGCGACCCGCAACCGGTCGTAAGTCAAGGACTACTAAACCAGTTGTAAGTCGAGGACTACTCAACTGGTGCAGCACTGTTTGCAGAATGGGACTTTTGGCGGGCTCAGCAAAAGCCAATAGAATAAAAGGGAGTAGCACAGCTAAGGAAAAGGGGGGAAAAAATGGCGGACTGCATTGTTTGGCGACCCCCGTGAAATCGTCGTTCGACCCCAAATGGGGTCCCGACCCACAGGTTGAGAACCACTGAATTATACAATTCCGGCTAATTTTGGATCCATTGACATATTTGTTACGAGGGCATCATTCTATAAACAGCTTTTCAGACCTCCAAAATGAAAAGTATCATAAAATCGGTGAAGTCAGGAAGGCAACAACAGCCTTCGGGAAGTTTGCTGCTAAAAGGAAACTTTTTAATTTAAAATTTTTTAAAAAGTAAAAACACGAGGATCGGAGGATGACACCACTTGAATCCCAGCCCACGAAAACACCTGAATAAGCAACGCACACAAGGATTTACGACCCGTTGAGAAAACTATTTTTTATTTAGAAAAAGGATTACACTGGTAGAATTTCAGATAAAAAAATTGTTTGTTTGTTTTTTTTAAAAAAGGTCATTGTGAAACTTTTTTTTTTATTTTTTTATTTTTTGGACTAAAGTCCACCGATACAAAGTTACTGTAGCTGTAATATTGAAACCTAATTGGTCTGAATTTTTGTTTTTTTTTTGGAAGAAAGTAGTCCCCAATTTCTTTAAAAACATTATGACAAACGTAAAGAGCATTGTGAGGAACAACAGAGCATGGGGTAGCCCTCTGTTTCCCTTCTTCTTCTTTCTCTCTCTCTTTTTTTAAACAAGTCACGGTTGTGCACATAATATACAAATACTTCCTTAGCATTGCTTGAAAACAGTCCCCCCCTCGGTTTTAGTTATCAATATTAAAAACAATAAATAAAAACTGGATTTTTCTTTTAAATGAGGTAAAATCCAAACGTTCAATAACTGTTTATTTGTCGTTGTGGTTTTTTTTTCCAAAACACCTAAAATAACGCATTTCCAATTGGAGGAAAAATAAAAAATAAAAAATGGCTAAACGGAGGAAGTATTTTGATAACCTAAAGTAAGAACTCTGTACATATGAAAAAACCTCCTTTGCACGATGGCAACTGTTGGCAGCACACTGTGCTAAAAAATATGGAACAGGTAAACACTTCCAGCCAGTACTGAAAATAAATGTTTAAGAAACTTAAGCGACGAGTTAAAATTACACTAATGTACAACTCAACCATCAACATCTTCAGCAACGGGAGAGAAATAAAGCAGAGAGGCGAATAATTTAAGGAGATGGAGACAGGTCCACTTCATTCACAATCTTGTGTGCAATCAAAATTCACGTCTGGAAAGTTCATGTCTCGTCACAGCTCACCATCTTCTTGTTTGAACCTCACCCTAAAAAGGAGAGAAGTGCAATTACTAAGATATGTTTCACGAAAGAAGCAGGAGTTGAAACAAGCTGAAGTTATGAGAATGGTCCACCACTGATCCAATTCATTCAATAAAGTGCAGCTGAAGGGTAGGAGAAGAGACAGAGCCTGGGGGCGGAGTCAAGAGAGGACTTAGCCTAGAATAGCTACGTGCCCACAAATGCTCCAAGTCCAGTTCCCCCTTGAATTCTGTTGACTCTTATCTAGAGTCAATTTAGTGATGACTGTTAGTTGATTAGATTCTTGTGTGTAGGCTTCACATATGATCCTGATTCTTCACATCTGACATGAAGTCAATTTAGCCCAGGATGGAGTTTATGTGTAGCCACAAATTGTACTTTGGAGATCAACTCTAGTTTCTTCCTCTGGATTCTCGTTGTTCATTCCCTACAGATATTTGCCTAACATCTGCTTCAACACTTTAACCCAAGGTGGTGCAAGTAGTCCTTAGTGACCATCCAAAGTTGCAACAGATCCCCCCCCCCAAAGGGACTTACAACCTGGCCCTGATGTTCTAAGGGCCAGGCCCATCCCCCTAGAGTCACATGACTGTATTGGAGGGGTCCTTGGTGCTTTCTGAGTTTGGCTGTTGTCTTGCAGATGTTTCGGGATCCAAACTAGGTAACTGATGATGTTACCTACTTTTGGATCATGAAACTTCTGCAAGAAAACAATCAAGCCCAGAGATCACCAAGATCCTTTCAACTCTGAGCTACAAATATTCTCTTTTTTTGATGACTGTTCTTATTGCAGTGTCACATGGCCACATAACCGATTTTACATTTTTGGCTGAAAACGGGCATTTACTTTCGGTTTCTGGCAAAAAAAAGAAAGAAAAAAAAAGCCTCATAGAAAAACCAAAGGGTTGTAAAAGTGGGTTGTTCACGTCATGACCCATTTTAGGTCTGCCGTGACTCACATCCATAATGGGAATGCTCCATTTTGGCATTTCTGCATTTAGAGCAGGGGTTGTCCAACCTTGGCATTAGGATGACCCTGGACAGGATATAATTATGGGATTGTGGATTATCAAAAATACTGAAACCCTATATTTACCTTTTGATTTAAATACAAGACTGTTATACCGTCATCTCAGGGCCCATCCGTGCCAGAGAAACTCCAATTTTATGAATAGGGAACATTCCTGTAGGCCTCACCTAACGTATATGGAATGGTCAATTCCTTCAAAGTCATTCTCAACAGGAATGAGGTGGCAAATACCTGCTTCCATCTCCAATGAGGTCAAAAAAAATTATGCTCACCTTGGTCAGAGCAGTGATCATTATCTATGTTTGTCTGAAGATTTATGGGTGGATCTAATGTTAAGGGAATCATTTTTTGAAAAGAATTTCTTAGAAAACAAGGTCAACCAATGTGAACACTAGCACAGCAAAAGGATATTGTTTTTTTTCTTCTTTGTTCCCAGTACTATCCCGTTTTTCTTTCTTCTCTGGTTTTTCTTTATCGTGCCTGGACTCCTAGACAAAAGGAGATAAGTGGGGGGAGAAATAAATATGACTTAAACACATCGTATTTTATCAGTATGAATCAGGGAATACTGTGGGGGTTTCTTTTGATATAAACTAGTGCAGTGGTTCTCAACCTTTTTAATGCTGCGACCCCCAACCGGTCGTAAGTCGGGGACTACTCAACCGGTCGTAAGTCGGGGACTACTCAACTGGTGCAGTACCGTTTGCAGAATGGGACTTTTGGCGGGCTCAGCAGGGCAGAGACAGCCTGGACAATTCCTATTGGCTTTTGAAAGCCAATAGAATTAGACTCTATTCAAGAGAGTCTATTGTATTGGCTTTCAAAAGCCAATAGAATAAAAGGGAGGAGCACAGCTAAAGAAAAAGGGAAAAAAATGGCGGACTGCGTTGTTTGATGACCCCCGTGAAATGGTTGTTCGACCCCAAATGGGGTCCCGACCCACAGGTTGAGAACCACTGAACTAGTGAATTCATTCTTCCGAAAGAAAGCTCTATATTTTTGCATTCCTCTTCTCTCGTTCAATAATCCCAAACCAATTCTGGTCCAGGAAAGAAAAATAAGCTTCAAAAGGTACCGAAACGTCCGATAACGCAACTTTAATCAAATGAAGGGAGATTTTTGGTTACCATCAACCCAGAAAAATCAACCATCGCCTTACCTTTTTGCTTCCAGAAGAGCTTTTCTCCACCTTTTCAACTTTGATGGAATCTCCTTTCTCCTTGCTGGAGGATTTTGACTTGTTCTTCTCTTTCTCCTTCTCATTGGAACGAGGGGGAGAGTCAGAAGGACTTTCACTCTTAGTGTGTTTGGAGGAACCAGCTAGACAGGGCAAACAAGTAAGCTGTCAGTAAGCCATCCAACAAGGCATTAACTATCAAGGAGAGAAGAAGCAGAAGAGAGCATACTTGTCCCGTTTTCCTCTTTCCGACGCTTGGTTGAATCTTGGGGAACTTCGCGGTCATTATTCGAATGATCCTAGATGGGTGCAACATCGAGACAAGGTTTCTTTTAGAAACACCAGTTTGTGAATATTAAGGCTTAAAACAAGCTGAGCTGTTAAAAGCTGTGGTCTTCTTCCTCCCCAGTGGCTTTTAATGATAAATCTCTATTACAGTGGTTCTCAATCTGTGGGTCGGGACCCCATTTGGGGTCGAATGACCATTTTACGGGGGCCGCCAAACAACGCAGTCCGCCATTTTTTTCCTTTTCCTTAGCTGTACTCCTCCCTTTTATTCTATTGGCTTTTGAAAGCCAATAGAATAGACTCTCTTGAATAGAGTCTAATTCTATTGGCTTTCAAAAGCCAATAGGAATTGTCCAGGCTGTCTTTGCCCTGCTGAGCCCGCCAAAAGTCCCAGTCTGCAAACGGTGCTGCACCAGTTGAGTAGTCCTCGACTTACGGCCGGTTGAGTAGTCCTCGACTTACAACCGGTTGGGGGGGGGTCGCGGCATTAAAAAGATTGAGAACCACTGTTCTAGACAGTTGCTCAAAGCCATTTTTATTAGAAAGGCTGGAGATAATGTGTTATCTTAGTACTCGGTGTTATGAATATGCAGAAATCACAAACCCTTTTTCGGTCTTTCCTTTCCTTTTCATCTTTCTTTTCTCTCTCTCGGGATCTTTCCCTCGATTTGTCCAAATCTTTCTTGTCTACTTCTCTCTCCTTACTTGTGGACAAGGCTGGAGTGGAGTGGTTAATGTGGTGCTGTTAAATCAGAGCAATATCAAAAAATTACTACATCGTGTCCAAGGCAATTCACTCAATCTTGCACCCAAATGCTGGCATATGTGTGTATCTATCATCTCTCTCTCTCTATCTATCTTTTCTGAGGTTTTCGCGGGTGTTTGTATATAGGTCTTTGGTTATCGGGTTTTCTCCCCCGCGTCAAATTGGAAGTGTCTTGGCGACGTTTCAACGAAGTCTCATCTGTCATCTTCAGGCTGGTGTTTTCGGCTTCGTGCTTATAGGAGCACGAAGCCGAAAACACCAGCCTGAAGATGACGAATGAGACTTCGTTGAAACGTTGCCAAGACACTTCCAATTTGACGCGGGAGAAAACCCGAATAATCAAAGATCTCTCTCTCTCTCTCTCAAATAGATGTTTCATATCATGGAAATATATTGAACCATCACAAACCGCAACCAGAAGTTCATATATATTTTTTTTGCCATGAAAATAAAATCACCTCTCAAAACAGCACTGAGTTTGCTGTGAAGGCAGTTTAAATTTCATAAGTCTGTAGTAAGAGAAAAACGGGGATAAAAAGAGGCATTTGGTCATGTTCCAAATATTGGGTGCGAGTTATTTAAACTGGCAGGTGGCATCAGCTCATTTGGGCTGATCTTGAAAAAGCTAATCGGGGTTAAACCTGGTTAATATTGGGACAGGAACTGTGAACCACTTTTCCTTTGTTTCAAGAAAATGCCGTGGATGCGTGCATGCAGTTACCAGGCAGAGAGAATTTAGCTTATTTTAAAAGAATGGGACAGCCACGTGTCCGAGGAAGGCAATTTTGGGGGAAATTTATACCGTCGTAAGTATGAGTCGGCTGCCAAGTGCATGAATTTTGATCACGTCACCCTGGGGATGCTGCAACAGTTGTAGCTGAGAAAAACGGTTATTTTTTTTTTCAGTGCCATTGTATCTTTAAATGGTCACTATATGAAGAGTTGTAAGGCGAGGACTATCTGTAATAGTCTTCTTCATAAGGGACCACCAAGTGTCTGGAACAGACTGTGAAAAGCTGCAACAGAGCAAGAGAACAAAACGCTGCCTTGCCACAACCGTATGCCACTGACAACCTTGCCAAGCTCTGCTGTTGTGCTTCTTTACCAAACCTTTCGACAACATCATCATCATCATCCTCACCACCGCAAAAGCAATTAAAAAAAATAAAATCAGAAGCTGAAGGCCGAACGACTCAAACCTTAACTGTGGAGTCCTTGAGTTCGCTGAGATTGTCCTGCAGAAAATGAATGGAGATGACAGGTAAGCTGAGAGGGTTCCCAGAAACCACTGGAGCGTGGGAAATCGGGGGCAGAACCTCAAAAACAAACAAAACAAAACAAAAACAACTTCCCCTCCGGGAATAAAAAGAGCGTTAATACTTTTTTAAAGACAATTGTATGCATACAAACCTAGGCTAATTACATCAATCAGATGAGCTACCGAACAGATGTGCTCTTAACTTTTTTTTAAAAAAAAATGACATTGCCTCCCCCACTATCTTTCTTTGCCAAAACTTTATTGTAAAAGTTATAGTTCTAGTCTAATTATTGGGGGGAAATGGCAATTTAAGTATTAATCAAGTGGCATTATTCCCTTGCACAGTTCCTATCCTATTCTCTTGAAAGCCAACATAAAAACTGACATCAGATTAGAGATGAGGGCTGTGCTTCCCACCACTCTGACGCCACTGAGCTGGCTGTCATTACCTCTTACTCCCTGAGATGCAAAGAGCACCAGCCCAAGAATCAAGGTTTGTTCTAGAACAGGGGTAGGCAACCTTGACTCTTTTTATGACTCATGGACGTCAACTCCCAAAATTCCTCAGCCAGCCATGCTGGTTCAGGAATTCTGGGAGTTGAAGTCCACAACTCATAAAAGAGCCACAGTTGCCTACCCCCGTTCTAGGGCCCTGCTCTAGCTAGTCTCCATTTCAAGCCAGCTTCTTAAAAGAGCTTGTCTTTTTTCTTTTTTAAAAATTTAATTCTCTCTAAATGTTGGCAAATCAGAGCGACATCCCCACACACGGCCCAGTGCGCGGACATAAGTGATCGGTTAAACTTACAGTTGGCATGCTTCAACCCGTACTGCAAACTCAAAAGAATCCATGAGCATGGGCGGTTTGGGAAATAAAAAGGAAATAAACACGGAGCAAGGAATCGCTACCCTGAGTCTTCAAAGGAGGCTGCAGCCCCCGGGATTTAGGGCTGGGCTGGGCTGTGCTCGGCTGCTGGGGTTTCTCGCTTGTTGAGTGGAGGGTTGGGCTGCCACATCTGGGTTATGCAGAGCGCAGAGCTCAACAGAGTGGGAAACTCAGTGGAATATACACAAACCTCGCAGGGAGGGTGGCCCACGGGCTGCCTGAACATACACAACTACAGGAGGGCTGATCACCAAGGAGACTTTTTTTTTTTTTTTTTTAAACAGGACTCAAGACTTCTCTTGGCTTAGCAGGAAGATGCTCAATAAACAGCCCGATGAATGTAGCAAAGATGCCTCCACGTTCCCGGTTTCCGCTGCGAAATTCTTCAAGGCTTAACAGATCGATTCTTCCCGATCAAGGCAGGAACAAAAAAGACTGAAAGAACACCACCCTCACGCTTCGCCCGGCGTGCTGAGATTCGCTTGCTTGTAGCTACCACTGCACTCCAAATATATATATAAATATCTGACTGTTTAAAAAAAAATATGGCGTAGGCACTTCTGGCTTGTTTGCACTTTTAAAAAAAAAAATACAAAAAAAAAAAAAGTAAAAACCATCTTGATATTTCCATACTCTATTTACAATGCTTCGTGCTAGGTCCTTGAAGTTTTAATTTCTTTCTTTTTTTTTTTCTCCTCTAATAAAAAAAAAGAGGTTTCCGTTTTATTTACTTTTGAAAATAATAATAATAATAATAGTAAAAAAGAGTCCACCAACCAATCAAAAGGAATGCATTTTGTTTTTCTAAATGCATCGGGGAAAAAAACAACAACAATAACCTCCAAAGGCTTCAAAACTCGGCACCAAACTTGAAGGAAGGAAGGAAGGAAGGAAGTCGAGACTGGCATTCCACGTTAGTTGAGAGCCTAGAAAATGGGCGTTGCCTTCCTCAGGACATACTAACCTTTACACTTGAGGAATGTGACGGAGAAGAATGGGTATCTATTTTGCGACGCTTTTGTTCTGGAAAAACAAGGGTGGGGGGGGGACACACAGAGACAGAAGTCGGGAGGTTAAACCTTTCGAGTGAATGGAGTCTCCGTATTAAAGAGTCTACGGAAACCAGGAGGCCCAATTTCTTGGCACATCAACCCCTGCTTAGCTTGCTGACTGACCAACTAATTGAGGCCGCCTTCCCAAAATGGATGAAGCCCAGACAGTGATCAAGGCAACGGGTTACAAACCCGGAGATGGTGAGTTCTAGTCCCGCCTTAGGCATGAAAACCCGCTGGGTGACTTTGGGGCTATCACCGGGAGACGGTGAAATCTAGTCCCGCCTTAGGCATGAAAGCTGGCTGGGAAACTTTGGGCCAATCACCAGGAGACGGTGAGTTCTAGTCCCGCCTTAGGCATGAAAGCTGGCTGGGAAACTTTGAGCCCATCACGAGGAGACGGTGAGTTCTAGTCCCACCTTAGGCACGAAAGCTGGCTGGGAAACTTTGGGCCAATCACCAGGAGACGGTGAGTTCTAGTCCCGCCTTAGGCATGAAAGCTGGCTGGGAAACGTTGGGCCAATCACCAGGAGACGGTGAGTTCTAGTCCCGCCTTAGGCATGAAAGCTGGCTGGGAAACTTTGAGCCCATCACGAGGAGACGGTGAGTTCTAGTCCCACCTTAGGCACGAAAGCTGGCTGGGAAACTTTGGGCCAATCACCAGGAGACGGTGAGTTCTAGTCCCGCTTTAGGCATGAAAGCTGGCTGGGAAACGTTGGGCCAATCACCAGGAGACGGTGAGTTCTATTCCCGCCTTAGGCATGGAAACCCGCTGGGTGACTTTGGACTTTCCATGGAACTCCTTTCAGCTGCTGCAGCAGCTGCGAATAAGGAATCACCTCTGTCCAGTGGCATGTTCCTTTGCTAAGAAAATTAAAAGCTGGCCTAAACAAAATAGGGTGTAAACCTACCCCTTTCGGAATCTGAAGTTTCTGACCGGGGAACAGGTGACTTCAAGGACCCAGCAAGTGGAATCTTCTCTCCTCCTCCTCCTCCTCCTCCTCCTCCTCCACTTCCTCCTCCTCCTCTAATGATTTCCTTGGATTTCATCATCTCCTTGGCCACTTCTCTCTCTCTTGATGGCTCCTTCTCTCTTTCCTTGTCCGCCATTGATTTGGACTCGGTGTTGGACACAATAATCTTGGATTTTTCCTCTTTGGATGATTTTTCTTCTCGCTTGATTTTCTCCTTCTCTTTGTCAGTCTTGGGTGTCTTCTCCTTGGCCTCTCTCGCTTTCTCTTCCTTGTTCGCCCTCTCTTCCTTTGGCTTATCCTTCCCGTCTTTTCCCAGTAACTTAGCTTCAGGAGTGCCAGCTGGAATTTTCTCTTTCTTCTCCTTCTCTTTTTCCTTCCCGCATTTCTCTTTGTCCTCTTTTTCTTTGGCAAGTTTGCTGCGCCCGAGACAAGGAAGCGAGGGGTTAGCATCGGAACAGTTTAAACCATCGCCCTTAGCAGTATCTGTACAGGTTAAGTCCTTAACTTACGGTCATTTGTTTAGCAATCATTTGAAGTCCACTTTTGGGGGCTCCAAAATGCAGTGCCCCCCCCAGCTCCCATGTTGCTTTCTGCAGCAGCGGGAAGCATCAGTAAAAGATTTATCTCTTTTTCCCAGGGCTGTTTCTATCCCCAGCAGCCCAACGCCTCCTCCCGCCGGGAGATTCTGCGTTCAAAAGATACCAAGGCAGCCCGGCCCTCACCTGCTGTTTCCGTTGCTCGCAATCACTTTGGGTGTTGCGTTGGCAGCTTTGTTGACCACTTTAACCGCACCCTGGGACTTCTCCTTCAACTTATCTGGATTAAAAAAAAAAAGAAGGGAAGAAATTACGAACGTCGATTAACAATCTGCAAAGATCAAGGAGGTGGGTTGTGGGCTGATTTTTTGGGGGAGAGGGAGAGGAATGGGGTGATGAAAAAGGACAGCATGGACGTGCTGAAAACAAACTCTGCAAAATGTTATTCAAGCCGCAGCTTGGTGCATACAGAATGATTATTTGGGCTCCTTTAATTCATCAAAAGTTAAAATCCCACTGAGTTAGGCATAAGTCGTTCCAAATCCATCCTTATTTTAACGATGGCAGCCAACCCACCTGTCTCCTCAGCAGTGCTTTCTTCCAATTTAGCTGTGTTTATCGTGAGTGGAGGCAGCCCAGCTGCCCCTGGCCCGTTTTGCACCATGGTGGGTACAGCGTTCCGGGTGGGAAGGTCCTTCTGATGGAAATCGTTTTCAGGAACCATTTTTCTACTTTTCAGTTGCCCAGAATAGCTGAAAGCCGCACAAAGGGTTAAATATGGGCAGAACACACAGGCCGAAAAGCAAAAGAGAGATACACACACACACACGCACGCACGCACTCAAAAACACTACTGCTCAGGAAAAAAAAAGGTAGGGATTTTCACTAGTTATAGGTACCGTCTTTTGACCAATGCTTAGTCTGATACAACTGTGAGTGTTTATGTGTGTGTGTGTGTGTGTGTCTGGTTTTGCAGAATTGTTCTCTTAAGCCAGTGGTTCTCAACCTTTTTAATGCCGCGACCCCCAACCGGTCGTAAGTCGAGGACTACTCAACCGGCCGTAAGTCGAGGACTACTCAACTGGTACAGCACCGTTTGCAGAATGGGACTTTTGGCGGGCTCAGCAGGGCAGAGACAGCCTGGACAATTCCTATTGGCTTTTGAAAGCCAATAGAATTAGACTCTATTCAAGAGAGTCTATTCTATTGGCTTTCAAAAGCCAATAGAATAAAAGGGAGTAGCACAGCTAAGGAAAAGGGGGAAAAAATGTCGGACTGCGTTGCTTGGCGACCCCCGTGAAATGGTCGTTCGACCCCAAATGGGGTCCTGACCCACAGGGTAAGAACCACTGTCTTAAGCCTCCAGCAACTGCCTAATCCCTCATTGTCAGAGTTTCCCAAAATATGTTTTTTTGGGCCTGCTCTCAACTACTGGCATTTAAACAGAAACACGGAAGTCGCCTTAAAGACAAAAGAAAAACTCCGGGTTTTCACGATGGTGTTTGTACAGGTGGTCCTCGATTTACAACAATTGAGGTTGCTAAGGGAGACATTGTTGAAGGGAATTTTGCCCCATTTTACGAATGGCATTAGTCATTCTAACAAGTGGCCTAAAGGAAAGAAGCAAAACTGACTCCTGTTCCAAAGAGACCATCAATTTCAGCCTTTCCTCTCCTGTTTGTGGCTTTGACGAGAACTTTATCCGAATAGCTCTTTTATTGGCTTTTTTTCCTCTGCTCTCTCAGACCCTTTTCCCTCTCATGTCATTCTTGGAAAACCTCAATTCTGTTCTATTACTAATCTTGATAAGCGCACCTGGGCGTTTGTTTAATCAAGACAGACTGCAAATTTAAAGGGTTTGAACTTTTAACGGTGTGATCCTTTTTTTTTCCATTTCTCTCTCCTCGGTCAATTTGATTCAACCAGAGGATACGCAATATAAACTTTGAAAGCTTTTACCTTAAGAGAAAGAGATTTGGGGGTTGGTTAATCCAAGACCTTTCCTTATGTACATATAAACCATTTTATAATTCAAAAAAAAAAACAAAACTCACACCAACACACCCACACCCCCTTGTCCTCTGCATGACTGATAATACAGGTTTTTTTTAACTTCAGGCAAAACCTAAACACAGATCAAAAGCTGATCTAAAAAAAATAGTGCTTCTGCAGCGTTAGGGTGTCTTTTGGATGACGCAATTTAAATTTCGTTTCTTTTGAGAGGGAATGATTTTGTTACCCCATTGCTAAAGCATATAGATCGGGTCTCTTTTCTTTCTCTTCCTCGTAAATCTTACGGACTCTTCTTTCCAAGGCCTGACCCAGATTCACCACCTTTGGATACCACGGCAAAATTTTGGTCAGCACGATAAGAATATTTCTGATATGGGTGTATTCCCCGGTTTCCAGACAGTGTACAGATGCCTGGAGGAGAAAAAAAAAACAAACCACAGAACAATAACATCTGACACAAGACATTCCTTACCACTGTTCAGGCAGGGGTCAACATCGTTCCTGAATTACCTTGGTTAACTTATAATGCCACTTGTGCACCACGTGTCGGAAATTTTCGTAGTCTAACTGGTCAGCTTTGTTCACGGCGTCATAACCGCTGGATCGTAACACAGTGATGAAGCCGGGATAGTTACCACATTCCTGCATGGAAACAACAGGAGAAAAAAATGTAGGACAGTCTTCGGCCAATGTTAAAATTCTCTCCACTGACTGCTGATTCCTTTCTAAATACATGGAAATGAAGACTCAAATTAGCCAGGCCCAAAGGTTAAATCACGGCAACTTGGACCAAAAGTTTATTAAAAATGAGATGTTATGTTTCTTTCCTCACCTGAGTTAACTTCATCAGTCAAAAATTCAAAAATAAAATTTTGGGTAGTCAGAGTGTCGTTGGAATGTACCAAATCCTACCACACTGACTGCAGGGGGGGGTTTCTCCCCCAAATGAAAAGCAATATGTAAATGAAGACACAATCATCTGGCCAAAAGTATCTAAAAAGGTTAAATCATGGCAACTGGACCAAAGTTTGTTAAAAACTCCTACAATCCAGTGGTTTCTCTGTAACTCCCTTCCTTAAACACATCAAGCATCTGCGTATTTTAAACATTACCTTTTCGTATATGCTTTTATCGCTGTGCCACTGGGTTACAGTATCCAGCATGCAGCATAGAAATCTACCGTACCGACTAGCTTCATTTTCCGTGCAGCTGGCTACTGTATAGATGATATCAGAGAATACCTAGAAGAAATTCGTGCATAAAAGAAAAAAACATTATGGTGAAAGAAAGAGGTTTCAATATTCCTAACTTTTCAATAGTCTCCCTCCCTCCTTCCTTCCTTCCTTCCCTCCCTCCCTCCTTCCCCTTCCTTCCGACTTCAGATATGTAGCTGCCGGTCCATGAGAATCAAGGTCTCTCGAAAGCTGCTTATTGAGAACTAAAGACATTCTCTCATAACAAGTATCTAACACTTAATTGGATAATGTAACCTGGACGATTAGAGGGAACTTTCTAGGCTTTTAATATACTGATTTAGGCGCCAGTTAACTAGAGCTGGTTTTCCTTTCACCTGTGCCGAAATCACGTACTCAATAAAGTTTTGCATTAGAGAATGGATCGTCTCAGCTCTGCTTGCTTCGTTGTGCTCAGTCAGTCGGAACCCCAACGAGAGTTTTTTTTTTTCCTTCTTCCTTGACAGAAAGGGCCTTTCAATGATTCTAAGGGAATCGGAAGCCAAACTTAGGAGTGACTTACTCTGTCATAACAAAGCAGTGTGGAAAAATTGGGGGTTTTCTGTTGATGCACCAGTTCTACAAAGCGGGCACAGTAAACAGCATCGATGGCGGAGAAGATACAGCGGGGAAATATACACAGCTGCAGAAACTTGGTTATGGTCTCATTTTTCGTCGACTCTTTAAAAAAAAATGGAAAAAAGAGGGAGGAAACGGTTACTGTTACGCACTGTATGTCTATAATGGTGTTTCTCAGCCTGGGCTGTTTTTTAAGATGTCTGGATTTCAGTTCCCAGAATTCCAGAGCCCAGTGCTCTGGCTGGAAAATTCTGGGAGTTGAAGTCCTGACATTTTAAAATGGCCAAGCTTTGAGAAAAAAACAATGCAGAAAGGAGGACCACCCCGCACCGCTTACTCGCAAGAAGCCAATTGTCTTTTTCAAGCTTCAGCCTTTGCAACACCCTTTCGACGTGATCCAACTGCTTCTTTTCCTCTTCAAGAAGTTTATCCTGAAGGGCTGTGCAGCGTTCTTTTTCTTTCTTCTTCTTATTGAGAGGCTAGGACAGGGGAAAAAAAAGCCCACTGCATTTGAATATGGTTAAAGAAATGGAAAGGTTTTGGATATAAATGAAGATTAGCTTAAGAGGGATGAGCCCCTAAAGCAGTAATGGCGAACCTTTTAGAGACCGAGTGCCCAAACTGCAACCCAAAACCCACTTACGCATCGTCGAGTGCCAGGTAGTTGTGGCCCATTGGATGGGCGCGGCCCATTGGGTGGGCATGGCTGCAGTGATAACGGCAGACTGGGTGGGACTAAAAAGTTCAATCAATTCCAACTTTGCAAGAACTTTTTTTTTCCTGCGAGAAGTTGAAATTGACTGATTGAACCTTTTTTTTTTTTTTTGCACATGGCAGCAGAGAAATAAAGCAAAAAGGTTTTATAAAACCAAACTGAAGGCCTAGGACTGGGGCAACGACGCGTGTGCCCACAGAGAGGGCTCTGAGTGCTGCCTCTGGCACCCGTGCCATAGGTTCGCCACCACTGCCCTAAAGTAATATAGTATGCCTTCTTTCCTTTTTATTTTGTGTTTGGGGGTTTTTTGAGGGGGGGCATGAGAAATATAAAAATGTTGGGATGGTTTATATAAAAGAAATGTTTTCTCTCTCTTTTTTTTGCTCTTATTTTCTCTTACGGTATGAGAAATGTAAAAATGTGATGGCTTGTATGAGGAAAAAAGATTTAAATACTTAAGTGTAATCAACCAGTAAAAATGTTTTGAATACTGCGGGGAAAACAAATTTAAATAAGAATGTAAACAGTATTTACAATGAGGCAATCAAGATGATCAATGAAAAGAAGCGTTATACTGATGTGATTATTTGCAACAACGTTGAGAAAAATGTTCATATTCAACTGTCCTTTATTTAAAGAAGAACTGTATTAATTTAAGGTTGGCTAAGGAAAATATTATTGGGAGAAGAGCAAATCAAGTAAAGTTATTCTATGGACTATAGAATTATAGAAATTGTTATTGTTTTTTAAATACTAACCCGGACTATAGAATTATAAAAATTGTTATTGTTTTTTTAAATACTACCCAGACAACACGATGTTTACCAAATATTAAGGTGTATGTTAAAAAATCAATAAAACATATTAAAAAAAAACCCCACTGCATTCACAACCTAGCCTGGCTTGCCAAGCGAACTGCACATCTTGAAGGTGTTTCTCCAAAAGTCAACTATCAATGAGCAAAAGTGGCAAAATCCACTTAACCAATGTCTTCGCTTAACCACAGACATTTTGGGCTCAATGGCGATTGTAAGCTGAGGACTATGTGTATTTTCACAGTCTTAAAGTATTTGGCAAAGACAAGATTTCCCGAGAACGTTCCAACTGGATACGTACCATGTCTGGATTGTCCTCAATGGCTTTCATTTGAACTTTGAGTTTGTTGACTTCCCGCTCGTAGCTGCCCCGGGGCACCGCGAGGTCGTACATCGTCAGCGACCAGAAGGTGGCGTAGAACTGGGGACTGATATCATCCCAGACCTTTGGAAGGTGCAAGGAGATCACTGCGTCGTGAACGGGGGCCATCACCAGCTCGCAGGACGTGATGTACTTGTGGACTTTCTGCTGCTGCTTATTCCCCTTTTCCGCTTTCTTCAGTTCATCGTATTTTGACTGGTCAGGAAAAAATATATATATATAATCTCTCCTGTCAAAGCTACTACATTTAAGCAAAACATAGAAGGCCTACATCTAGGGGTGTCCAACCTTGGCAATTTTAAGAGTTGTAAACTTCAACTCCCAGAATGCCCCAGCCAGCATGGCTAACATAATCCCCATCTGATATAATCGAGAAAAGGATTCTGCGTATGGGAAACATGTACTCACCGAAATGTGGTGTGTGTACATAGGTCTTGAAAGGAAGAAAGCCGCATCGTGAGGAGTGTGAAATTCGTTACAGAGGACGTCGATAGAAGGCACTCGCTTAATATAATCATCTGTGCTCAAATTAGATGCCAGAAACCCACCAAATTGTACCAAAGTATCGTGGCACTAAGAGAGAAAAACACAAAGGTATAAGCCAGGGGTCTTCAAACTTGGCCCTTTTTATGACTTGTGGACTTCAACTCCCAGAATTCTTCAGCCAGGCACACTGTCAGTTGCCAAGGTGGAGAGAAGGAGGGAACAACACAGGCAGGCTCAACTACTCAGGAGGAGAGCGTCCCGCCCCTCTCCACAAGGCACATTTGGAGACTGAGACTTAAGGAGACGCTGTGGGGAAAAACATTTATCGGGAACAAACACTGATTCCTTGGAGTTTTGTGTGGTGGTGTTGCTGATCTCTTGTTCTGTGTTGTGATTTCTGCTTGGAAACCCAGAAACTCTGACCATTGGACTGGCTGACAATGTTGCTTGGATGTTTAAAGAACTCGGACTGTATTTTGGATCCCCTTCTGAAACTGCTCAGGCAAGCTTGTATTTCCACAGACTCGTTAGATTTTGGATGTATGTGTCATTCCTTGTTATCTCCGTGGCCTTGAGTAAATTACTCTTCTAATCAGACTGTGTATGAAACTACTTGCAGCCAGAGGTGGCTGAAGGTGTGTGTGTCTTCCTTTGTTTTGAAGCTTGCCTGAAATGTGGGAGCATTTGGGGAACATTTGGGGCAATTAAAGGGCGGTTTGGATTGCCAGCTGACTGCATTGCCTCGCTGCTGCGCCCTGGGTCGTCACATGCAGCAGACAAATCCAGCCTTCTGGTAGCCGTCTGCCTGTGGAGGTATTTTTAAACATTTTAAGATCATTAAAAAACAACAACATGCGATTCTTTTCTGCTTGCCTGATCGTACAGCTTTCCCACCAGCTTCAAATGTTTCTCCCCTCCTTCTTGAAAGATCACACCGTTGCGCTGTTGCGCCATGAGAAGGCACAGCGGAAGGGCGAGATCGTGGTCCAAAAGGGCATCTTTTAACCTCTGAGAAGATTTCTTCGTGTTTCTGATCTGGCCAAAATATCCTCCCTGAGCAAAAGGAACAACAACAACAAAACAAAAGCAAAAACAAAGTTAAGAAACCCAGCTGAGAAACTTTCCTGCCCAATCATTGCAACTCAAAGAACAAACTTCTAATAAGCTTTAGCCGCCATCAGGTTTGTTGCTTCCTGGCACACTTGAAAATAATCTGTCATTTTGTGCAAATGGGAGGTGAAATATCCTGCGATTTAGTGGCTGCATTTTTCATCCCCCGTATTCTGCTTTCCCTTCAAAAAACATGCAACACACACCTCTGCCTTCAGCTGCTCCCCGCCCGTCATGGCTTCCAGCTGTTCCATGGTCATTTCTTCGGTGATTTCAATTCCCGCCATTTTTTGTACCACTTCTTTCAAAATGAGGAGGTCAAAACTACAGGGGAAAAAAAAAAAGAATAAGGGAGGAAAAAATAAAGCCAAACCAAGACTTGGGATTGCATGGAGATGAAACTGATTTTACAGTAGAGTGTATATTAGCCCTGATCGTATCAGGACCCTCCCACAATACTTTCGGAAATTGCTTCTGTGTCTGTCTGCTGTCTATTTATCTATAATCAATCAATCAATCTACCTACCTACCTATCTCTATCCAACCATGGTGGTGCAGTGATTAGAATGCAGTATTGCAGGCTAATTCTGCACACAGTCTGGAATTGACTCAGCCTTCCATCCTTCCCAAGTCGGTAAAATGAGCACCAATTTTAAGGGGAAATATGCTGGCTCTGTAAACTACTTAGAGAGGGCTGTAAAGAAGTATATGTCTAAGTGCTGTTTCTGTCTATCTGCTATCTCCATCCATCCATCCTAATTTAAAAATTGTCTGTCTCCCACATAGGATGACTCTGGGCAGTTTATAAATAGAACCTGCAGCAAGATGGGCAGCAAGTTTAATAAATAATAATAAGTGCTTTTCTCCACTTAGATGCAAAATGAGGGTAGCTATTACAAAGACAAGCCCTAGCTAAACCACATTGGGGGTGGGTGGGAGGCAGAGGGACTACATGCACTCCACAGATGTTACAATATGAGTTTATATTAAAAAAATGCAATTTGACCTGCCCTGCTTAAGTCTCCCAATCCAGAGCTGGAAGGCAGTCAAAGAACCCCGTCTGCTCACCCACCCAGCCATCCATCCATGCTTTGAGATAGTAAACCGAGCAGATTTAGTCCTGTGTTTAACAGGATGGCTGTGAAAACAAAGACAGCTGCATTCCACTCACCTTTTTCCCGCCTTGAGTTGATTTGCCACATACTGGAGGAGTCCGGCAAGTTCTATCGGGTATTTTCGAAAAACAGCACCACAAAAACTCGCTAAGCCTAAAAGGAAACAGGGGGAAAAGAAATAGATCAGGGTAACTACCTAACAACACAGTCCTGACCTCAGTAAGCCAGAAATTAATACTTTTGCTACCCATGTTAGGTAGTTCCCAAATATTCCAGCAGATGACTTAGAGATTGGATGTGTGTGGAAAGCATGGTAGCTTTTGTTAAAGGTGGCATTTCTCATTGTTTTGTAAACCCCTATGCGCTTCCAGAAGACTGCTGTGGAAATAAAGATGAGATGCCTCCGGTCATTTTAACTGGGCAAACTGTACAAAAGACAAATACTTACTTTGAAGCCAACTGGAGATTGTTGTGTCGTCGTGCTTCATCCTCTCCTTCTCGGGATTGGCCAACGCTTCAATGATGCAATCTTGGATGACGTTGAGGAAGAATTGCACTGAGTTGTTAATGTTAGCATTAAAAGACATTACAGGGTGCTGACATCTGAGATAGTCTGGTGCAACAGAATTATTGGTAGCCTCTGGTCCTCTCACGATTGTTTGCTTGCAGATGTTTTCATTACCCAGTTATGTAACTTCTTCAAGTTTTTCATCAGCCACAGCACTGATATTACCAAGTTGGGTAATCAAACGTCTGCGAGAAAACAACCGAGGACCTCAGTTTCAATCTTTAAGACAAGGAATCTTAGTGTTTACGAAGACAAGGTCTTTGTAAATACCACACTAAGAAAGGAAATATTTTTCCTAGCCCTCCCATCGCCACCCAATGCTGCTAAGTCTTAAAACGAAGTAGAAAAAACAAACAAACCACTCTTAAGGAGTTTCTTTGGGAAAAGCTGCAGTTCTATGATGGGGTGGATTGTTTGATTGTATAACTGAGGCTTAATTCTATTGAACAATTATACTAACGGCATCCTTTGATGCCCTGTAGGTAAAATTTAAAATCTGCACCCCGGGGCCAAAAGAAGAATTGTTACTGCCTTCGAAAGGCGCAAGAAAAAAATGCTTTAAATAACGGCGTGAACGAAACTCAGGAGCTATAAGTCACGGTGTAAAGCAGGGGTAGTCAACCTTGGCTCTTTTATGACTCGTGGACTTCAACTCCCAGAATTCCTGAGCCAGCCATGCTGAGGGGAAAGGGAGAGTTTCCAAGCTGAGCTAAGCTGGCTCAGGAATTCTGGAAATTGAAATCCACGAGTCATAAAAGAGCCAAGGTTGACTATCCCTGGTGTAAAGAGATCAAATTTCTGAGTCTGAATTCAATATTGCAAGAACTACTAGCCCTAGAGGGTGAGCAAGGGATCACCTTGGAATCACTCGTGAGGAACAACGGAGGCAGCAGAAATGTAAAACACGATTAAATCACACTTCTAAGAAACTGGCAAAGGATACAAGCCAAAACATCATAGTTTAGTGAAGTGAGGTATTTTAATGAATCAACAACTGGCGTTATTAAGTTATCGTATTTCTGTATCTGGGACAAAATCTGAAAAAGAGTAAGGGAAACATTTCAAGATACATCTACACACTGAACTGTGTTTCACACACTTCAGTTTCTTGGTTTCTGTGATTTGCAGATAGTCCTCAGGTTATAACTACTTATTCATTGACTATTCGAAGTTAGGAAAGAACTGAACGAGGGAAATTTAGGATTGGTTCCCAAGAGTTTCAGCGATGGTCCTGTGCCTGTGATCACACAATTGTGATTCAGGCATTTGGTGCCTGGCTTGTGATAACATTACAGCGAGACAGTCATGTGATCACGATTTCGAATATCTGCCGGTTTCCCATAAGCAAAGTTAATGGGGAAGCCAGCAGGAAGGCAAAAGTTGTTTTGGCCACTTTTTTGCTCATTTACACTCGGTACCACCGCCCTGTGGCACTGGCATACACACACACATGGAGAGAGAGAGAGAGAGAGAGAGAGAGAGAGAGAGAGACAGACAAAGACATGCAACTTATAGCTCTTGCTAGCCTGCTTGCCTTGGACTTCTGCCTTCTCATGCTTAATGACTTGTGCAGTCCTGGGATTACAATGGCAACCAGGATTGCTGGTATTGCCAAAACTAATCAATGAGACCCCATGAAGTTGTGCTTTATGACCAAATCAATTAGTGACAAAAATTCCTGTCCCAATCGCCACTGTAACCTGAGGACTACAATCTCTTCTCACTCAACCATTTCCTTTCATTTACCCATTAACAGTCAAGTTGCAATGCATTCATAAGACTATTTATTGTACAATTTTGATAAACAGGTGCTCTTTGCACTCGCTTTGCTTTAAACTACGCAGCTTCAAGCACATTTGCTGCGACAACAGATACGTATTGCAACTTATCTTGCCACGTACATAGTCAAATAAAATGGTTGGGTTGCTGTGACTCAGTTTCCCAATTTGTCTTCCAGAAGGCTTTACGTTCTCCTTCGTTAAACGCCTGTAAGAGAATACCGTACTTTAGTTCCTTTCTTCTGCAGCTTTCTCTGCTAATTACACAGCAATTTAATTTACTCTCCTGTGAATAAGGTCTAAGATTGTCCTCTCAAAATCCTGAGGAAAGCTGCGTATATGGTTATATTTCATATATAATGAATATTGTCCTGAACTTAAGCGTGTAAATCAAAGTACTTGTGAGACGCTACGTATGGATTTTTTTTTTAATCCAGAAAAAAAAAATTAACCAAGTTTTAATTCATCCCTTATTTTGTTATTTAAGCTGGCATTATTTAAACAACAGTTCTGGAGTTTCACACTGACTACAGGAAGTTTTGCTCAATGTTATACCTCAGGAAATATAAGAGTGGCACTCTTGTCAGATAATTTAGTCAGCAATCCTACATATCTTATGAATAATCTCCCCTGAATAAAACAGGATTTGTTTCTATCTAAGTATGCAAAAGAATGGAGATGTTCAAAACTAACTTTCTGAGAACACCAAGAACTGCTTTAGGCCTAAGAAATTAACTTTTGCAAAACTGAACAATGACCAGAGCAGCATGACTTGGAGGACTAATAGAATGTTCTGGACTTCCCCAGAACAGTCCATGCTAGGCTTCTCTAGAACATTCTAACACGCTAGACATTCCATGCTAGAGCATCTGGTTTTGCACATACTTAATAGGAATGCTTATTCAAATCAATATTTAACTTACTTCATGATATATTTGGCTCTGTCAATTATCTGAGCTTTAACTTTTACTAGCAATGGATGACTATTATAGGTTTCGTTCTTCCACTGGCCGTAGAGACGATACCTAGTACAGGAGAAAGGAAGGAGAAAGGAAGCCATTGACATAGCGTTCCAAAGGCACTGATATATTGGATTTAAAACATTCTAGGTAATTACTCACCGGTGCTGGTATGGAAATGTTTTAAACATCCCCCAGAGTTCCTCGGACATACATGCATTACAATCCATCAAGGAAAGAGAAGGAAGCAAAACCTGGTCAGTGATACTCAGCAGACAGCTGAATAATATCTCCTGGCGAACAGGGAAGAGAAGGGGAAAACCAAAATATTAATAAGTCGGGTCCTCTTTTTAATTTGCTTTTTTTACAACTTTATCAGGCACGTCTTTCCAATAAGACCCATTGCTCTTTACACATCAGTGGTTAGAAACATCCCCACTCATTATTTCAAATCATTAAAACGAGAGAAAAATAAAGACGATTGGTGAGTTGGTGACATTTGTGTGACATCTCCTTCCCAACTTGGTTCCCTCTGCAAAGAAGAACACTAGGGAGCCGTTGCCATCAAGTCCACCAGATTGGAGGTTCCCCCTCTCAAAATAGGACAAAACTGTAACGAATTGGAGCTTCTTAGTCAAGAGAAATTTGTAGCTAGCAAACCCTGGGCTTAACCTGAGCCTAGAAATAACTTTTGGTATTCCAAAAATGCTAACGCTGAAATGGAGTTTAATAAGCATTCTCGAGTAATAATGGAGACAATGAAAACTAATTCTAAGGAAGTATACGGGGAAAGTGAAGGAATGTATGCACGGTATCCTGAAGCCATCAGCATTTTTCATCTTCTCCCTTTCCTAAAAAGAGATTTATTCCACAGTCGCGCAACCTCTCATTTGCTGGAACATTCTTTTTGCAATTCCACAAATGAAATGGATTCGTTACACAAGCCCTGGGCTTCTACCCTGGACTAGAGAGGCTGTAAAATAGTATTTGTTAAGAGACTGTGCATCGTGGCCCAGAAGACAACTAGAATGGCAGGCGATAAAGAGTCAGCCCCAGGGGGTGTTGCTTGTACAATGCCTATGTCAGCCAACAATGAGTAAATGTAGCTGGATAGCTGATTGTCAGTTCTATCTTGGTCAATTATTACAAGGTCTGTCAAGAAGGTATTTTAAAAGAACCTACCAATTTCTCTTTGTCCTCTTGTTTGCTTCCGTCTAGCTGGTACTACAGGGGAAAAAAAAGAAAGTAGGTTAACGGCTACGATGCCATGGCTTCAGACCAAAGAGACAATGCCAAGCATGTCAATGAAAACCTTTCCTCTTCCACGTTTTCAGAGGGAAACATCTGAGTCAGAGCAATCATGGTGGATCTAATTTTTTTTGAACCTCTGAAAGGGAAAGAACAGGATGTGGTAGCTCTTCCGTAATGTGGCGCGCAGCAGGAGAACTTGAACCACGCATCTCCATCCTCAGTTGGCTACAAAGAAATTACCCTCACAAATGACTCTGTTTATAGGTCAACAGTTAGAAAACTTCAACCCTCATTTGAAACCGTTAAAAGCTTGGTACGTTGGTGATATTTGTATAACATCTCTTTCCCACCTTGGTTAATCCCACAAAGGAGAAAATTAGGGAGCAATTGTGATCGAGTCCACAAAATTACAGAGGTAGTCTTGGTCATCACATTCTAAAAAAAGGTGTTGAGACTTTGGAAAGCAACAAAGATGCTTAGGGGGCTGGAGGCTAAAACTTAATGAAGAACGGTTGCTGGAATTGGGTATGTCTATTCTAATGAAGAGGAGGACCAGGGGTGACATGATAGCAGCGTTCCAATATCTCAGGGGCTGCCACAAAGAAGAGGGGGTCAAATTATTCTCCAAACAGCCTGAAGGCAGGACAAGAAACAATGGATGGAAACTAATCAAGGAGAGATTCAGCCTAGAACTAAAGGGAAACTTCCTGACAGCGAATGCAATTAACCAGTGGAACGGCTTGCCTTCAGAAATTGTAGGTGCTCCATCACTGGAGGTTTTTTTAAAAAAAGACTTGGGACAGCGACTTGTCTGGAATGCTATAGGGTCTGCTGCTTGACCAGGGGTTAGACTAGAAAATCTTCAAGGTCCTTCCAACTCTCTTATTCTGTTAAATGGTCTGACTCGCACTTAAAACACTGAACTGTACCTCGGCATCACTAGGCATAGCCTTGCAGTTACACATCACCTGCTTCTCCTTTCCAAAATGGCTACAAGAAAACACACAATGGTCTTGGCCAAGCTAGCTTCCAAACTTCAAGTGAGTGTCCATATATCAAACTGGTTTAAGCTCAGGACCTCTAGAGCAGTTGAAACAGTGCACGCTGATCCTGAAAGAACCTGTTTGGATTCACGCTTCTTTAACGTTGTGTGAACAAAGGAAATGCAACGCAATGGAATCAGACCAGGAGCAAAGCAGAAGTCAGCACCAAGTATTAACCCAGCGAATGGAGGGAAAAACAGTTTACTTTACGGCAGGAAACAGATTTTTCTAATTAATGTGACTTTTAGAGGAGTGTCGTGATTTAAGTACGTTCTTAAGGTATTTTGGCTAGCCAGTTTAGAGTTCTTTTTAGGAGAAAAAAGGGAATAAAAGGATTTTAAATAAATAATTATTTTCTTCCTCATAGCTGCCCCCCCCAAAAGAGAATGTAAACTTCAAGGCTGCTTATTCACATCATCCCAAAGAGGGGTCGGGGATATCTGCAAATCAGGAAAATGTGAGAACAAGCACCTATTGAAATGAGCAGACAGTTAAAACATTTGGTACCTGCGAACTGAAAACAAAATCAGTTCTCAACCCTACGCTGCGTTTTTATTTTGCAAGACATCTGGAGATAGTTCTCAGCAACCTGCCAAATCCTGACTTGGGTTTACCAGGGCTTATCTAATTAACAGATGTTTAGGAGATAAATTTCACTGCACTTTGTACAGAATCTGCTCTAACTGCCTGTCAGCTGTTTAACTGTGAAATTATGCCGAGCACTTTTGCTGTATAAAAAAATGATAATTTTCCTCTCAAAGTAGACTGACAGTATTTATTACACATTATTTGTATGTGTAACTACTAGCAGCAGAATTCCCGAAGAAACATGACAGAACCAGGCATAAAAAAACATCAACTTGCTTCTACAGTTTTAACGAGTTGCTGTTTTAAACTGGCCATCTGAGTCAGCAAAGACCTAGGTTGACTCAGTTTTCCCTTCAGCTGCTTGCTTTTGAAACAGCTTCAAAATAATAATTTTCAACATGGAAAAAAAGCGGGAAGAACGAGAGCTGTAAGACGTCTACAGATACCTCAGTGTTGGAAAAGGGGTATTGTGAGCATCCAAAATGGCTTGATTTAAAAAACAAAAACAAAACAGAATTGTTAAGTGAAGGTAATTCAGAATTAAGGAACAACTTCAAAGAAAGGTATTTTTGGCAGCTGAAACTTGGGGCAGTGTTCCCCCAAACATTAATGCATCTTAAAACCTTTGTTTTCATTTTCCAAATCTTTTTTTATTGCAGCAACCTTTGCTAGTCTAGCTAAAATTGATAAACAGGAAGGTCACTCTGTTGCTCTGTTTGTTTGCTCTGAATAACTATTTCTCAAGTACCCCTTCAAAACGCTAGACATAAAATCCTCAATTTACGACCACTTGTTTCGCGAACATTCAAAGTTCTGACAGACCTAGCTGGGGGTAGTACATTTAAAACCCAGATTTGAAGTTCTGATGGTCACCCCTCCTGACAGCCCATTTCAGGCTGCATTTATGTCCTCTGTCAGTGCCACGTGACTCTGTATTTTTAAATTTTTTTTTATGATTTTGCCGGAAACCCATATTTACTTCTGAATTTCTGGCAAAAAAAGAGAGATCCTCTTGCTGCAAAAAAGGTTCTTCTCGACTTATGACCGCATCTGAGCCCAACGCTTCTGTCGTTGAGCGAGACGCCTGTCAAGTCAGTTTTGCCTCATTTTACGACCTTTCTTGCTTCAGTGGTTAAGTGAATCCCTGCAGTTGATAAGTTAGTGCCCTGGTCGTTAAGCGAATTTGGTTTTCCCCCCGTTGACTTTGCTTGTCAGAAGATCGCAAAAGGGGATCGCGTGACTCCCTGGGACGCTGCAAACCATCGTAAATATGAGTCAATTGCCGAGCGTCTGAATTTCGATCATGTATTCCTGGGGATACTGCAAAAGTCGTAAGTGTGAAAAATGGTCCTAAGTCATTTTTTGCAGTGCCGTTGTAACTTGGAACGGTCACTAAATGAACTGTTATGTCAAGGACAACCTGTATTTACTTCTCGTTTCCAGCCAAAATCCTCCATGACGACTGCTGCAAAAAAAAAAAGCTCATAAAATCAGATTGGACACATGACTGGCCCACTTTAAGACTGCCATGGCTTATGGCTCCATTACGGTCCTAACTCAAGGATGACCTGTACGCCCTTGATGCTGTTGCTAGGATACCTTTTAAGGCAAAAAAAAAAAAAAAAAAAACCATCTCTGAAAGTCCTAGCTTGAAGTTGACCTTACCTCTTTCATAAAGGCTTTCCCGAGACGCAAAACTTTGGCGAAGAGGATGGGATCGTGGGAGAGGTGCGGGCCGAGATAGCACAGCATGCTGAAGACTTCTTTCCTTAAGTCCTCAAAATGTTCCACTTGCTTTGGGGCTCTCTTGTTTTGCAACGGGGGGACCGGGGTCCCTTTGGCGCCTTTGAGGACTCCGACTCTGGAAAACGAGAAAGGGAAGCTCTTGAGACGATTCGGCGAGTTTGAGGAGCGTCTCAAAAAAGGCAATAGGCAAATAACCCTTTTCCAAGCCAAAGGCCCGGTGAGTAAAAAATGCTTATCAACTCTCCACCACCCCAGCCATGAATTCTGAAACCAAGGAAGTGTCCATTGAGGAAGCCGAAAATTCTGCAGTTCGTCAAAACATGCACAATATACATCATCTGATCAATTCACCTTCGGTAGAGGGGCTCAATCATCACGTGTAGAAGCTGGCAAAGAGCAATTGCAATAGATTTGTGGGACGTTGCATAAAACGGAGGCATCTGGTCCATAATGCTTTGTGCGTGCTGCCAGTCGCCGATCTGCAACATGGCTTCTAATAAACCCAGTTTCTGGTTATCTGGTGGCTGGAAGAAACAACCAAACAGAGGAAAGTATTTGATTTAGAGCAGGAAGTTGCGCTTTTCTCCCCAGGACTATCTCAGAAAGCAGGTTTTCAACATATCTGCATATTAATGACACCGTTTTCCTATGCTTAAATATTAGGGCTGAAATAAATCCAGTTTAAAAAAAAAAAAAGTCATCCCGATGCCTGATTAAACCTACAGTCCCGTGTAGACTGGATATGTTTGGGTTTTGGCAGCCTAATGTGAGAGATCTAGGATGAGAGCCCATTTTTATCAGGAGCAGAAATATTTTATATTCAGCTAAAATAGAGACGATTCCTTTGCCCTCAGCCACATCTTCTCTGCAAGTCAAAGCAGAACCGATTCCCAGTAGAACTGCGGTATCGACACGGCTTTGTATCCGAATAAAAGTCCAGGATTATTTTCATCTCTGAAAAGCTTACTGTTTTATTGAATACAGGGCTTGGTAAAGGTGAAGGAAAACCAACTCTAAAATCCCAAGGCATTAGACCCGGGGTTCTCAAACGTGGCCCTTTTATGACTTGTGGACTTCTACTCCCAGAATTCCTCAGCCAGTCATAAAAGGGCCACGTTTGAAGACCCCTGCATTAGACCATAGCATATAACAGTGACATTCCCAGCCAAACCCCCCAGATGTCCACGTAACTCATGTAAACACGTTCTCTTTGTTATGGGAACCGTCTGCTCTCTTCTTCACACCTGCTAGAACGTCCTTGAAAGGCTTCCAGACAGCTGACTCTCAGCAAACCTCCGTAGAACTGGAGAGGTTCCATGTCTCTAATAAACCCAATTGAAAGCACCCCCCCCCCCAACGGCAGGATGAAAACAGAAAGGCACGTAGCTGCCAAAGTTTCACTCTTGACCACCTTGTTAAAACTAGATTGCTAGATCGCGTACAGCAGAGGTCCCCAACCTTGTGGGCACCAGGGACCGGATCCGTGGAGAGAGCTTTTTCTGCGGACCGGAGGGGGCGTGGTTTCATGTACTGCCTGCATCCCGCGGACCGGTTTCTGGCATGCTGTGGCCCGCTGACAGTCCACGGCCCAAGGTTTGGGGACCCCTGGTGTACAGGACTGCTAACCTAGGAAGTTTCTGCCTTAACCATATTGCTTGATCCTTCAGTCCTTGAATCTGATTTCATGGACGTCTGTGCGGCAGGAACTCACCTTTTCCATTTTCTCCTCTTCCTTCTCCTTTTCTTTTTCTTTCTCTTCTGTCTTTTCAGAAGACAGTACAACCATGGTAAGTTTCTTTACAATTTGCTTAGCCTCCCCAATTTCCCGTCGGTGCTCCTCCAGGATAGAGTGGTCGGACGGTAGAAGCTGGAAAGGGAATTTGAATATTAGCTTCCACATACTAGCTTCCTCTCTCTGATAAATACAGAGGTACCTTGGTACTCGGCTGAACTGAGTATTTGATGCATTTTGATATGGAAATTTTGTCCTGGCACTCAGTTTGTTTGATACTCAACGCAGATGCTACAACTTGTTGGTGTTGGCTGCCTTGTGACTCACTACATTATTCCTCATGGGGGAAAAAAATTCTTCGGTACTCATCGTATTTGGTACTTAGAGCGCCTCCCGGAACAAATTAACAATGAGTGCCGAGGTGCCATTGTATCACTGTCAGTCCTAATCAGTATTAATTCACTGTATGTTTATCAAAGGAGAGATATTATGCACTAAAAGAAACCTTATGTTTTTAAGATTTCTTTCCTGAGAATGAGAGAATGCTTACTCTTCAATGAGATTAAAAATATGCTCATAAATCACGGATTAGACAGAAAAGCCCCGAATCTGAGACAGGTTACCACTTAACAGAATACATATTTTATTGTTAAAAGCAAAATAGGTAACTTACGTGTACATAAAGGTCTTCCAGATCTATTAAGTTATGCTGCAAAAGGACTGCGGCGACTCTGTACAAGGAGACGGGTGTCTCTCCATTTGGTTCCTGGAAAGAAAAAAAAAAATACTTTTAGGATATTATATTTCTGCTGAAATAACGGAAGGATTTTAAGCCGTGAACTTCTGTGGTACCTGATAAAACTTGAATTTGAATCCAAGTATATGGCAGAGTGTTTGAGGTTCACACATATACATATACGACTCTATCAAAGGTACAAAAAATTCATCATATTCTGGTCGACATTCATAGACTTCCAAGATAATATCCAATACTCGGTTAGGATCCAGGTTAAAACATCCTATTAAACAGATGGGAGTTATAAAAACATTACTTTTGTTCAAGACAACGAAGCATACAAGATTAAGACCCTCTATCTAGCATTAATTTATCAAATATCCGCAATAGTCATTAGTATCAGGAATATTTTTTTTAACCCAGGAAACTATGTTATAAAGGAAAGTGTGAGAAAGGAGACTTTGGAGACAACAGAGAGAATATAAAGAAAACTCAAAATGAAGTAAATCTAAGGCATATAAGGAAAACTGTAACTAGAGAACTTGTATCAGAAAACATGCCTTACCTATTAAAGATTTAATATTTTCTAGGATCAATTCGCTAGTAATATTTCCAGATAAATCTTGTCCCAGTTCAGCAATCAGTTTTGCATAGCCTTCATTCTCTTCTCTTAATAAATTAAATTTCTGTTGCTTATAACTACAATTCAAGAAATGAAGAAACAAGAAAAGCATAAGGGTTAAAAAACTGGAAGTTGGAATAAACTGGACATTTTCTGCTTTATTGAACCAATTTATATGAACGCCCATCACACAAAAACTCCTTCGGGGCAAGTCACTATAAACAGTAACTCTGTTTAAAAATAATTGTGATTTTTTAAAAAAAAGCACAAGACACAAGAGAAGATGAATGTTAACTGCTGTCAGGGAGGCCCCCTCCCCCCTACCCAAAAGCCAGGAATCCTCTGGGACCCCCAGGGCTGAAGAGACAGCCATGTTTTGAGAGATTTCTGGAACATTAAAAGGGATGGAGTTTTGAGGAATAGTAACGATATACTCACAAAAGTTTTGTCTTTATTTTCACAGATTTCTGATTAAACTGCTGGGATTGCTTGATAAGCCCTAATGATTCCAACGTTTCTGGGTCCAAACGCTCTTTTAATATAGTATCGGAAACCAGATTCTGGAAAGTAAACGGTGAGTTTTATTTACAACGGGGTCTGACCTTATGTTGTCTTTCAGTAAGGGCGAACCCCTTTCTGGGGACCAGACGTTATACAGGTGGTCCTCGTTTTACGACCACGCTTGAACCCAAAGTTTCTGTGGCTAAGCAAGGCAGTTGTTAAGCGAGTGATGCCCTATTTTACAACCTTGTTTTTGACAGCGTTGTTAAGCAAGTCCTTCCAGCTGTGATTCTAGCTTGCCCCATTGAATTTGCTTGATGGAAGCTGGCTGGGAACAAATGGGGACCACGTAACCATAAATAGTTGTCAGGCGTCTGAATTGTGATCATGTGACCATGGGGATGCTGCAAAAACCAGTCACAAATCACTTTTTTTTCCCAGTGCCGCTGTAAGCTTGGAACAGTCCCCAAATGAACAGTAGTTTTTAAACAGCATGTTAGAGCAGAATAACGACCATTAAACGGAGGAGATCGGGAGAATAACTAAATTTGATCTGGTATCATTTATCCTGAATTAAGATTCAAAATTACAGCTGGGATTTCCGTGGTCATCTGGATCTAATCCGGTGTTCAGCAGAGATGTTTCCTTTATAAATTGGGCAGTATTAAACAATAAAAAGAGGGGGGAGCAAAGTTCTAAACATTTCCACCATGTACATTTCGACCACTTCTCTTTTCCTGAAATGAAGTTTTAAAAGCAAAGAAAGAGTAACTCACCAAACAGGCTAACACCAACTGCATGAACTGATCTCTTTTGCTTTTTTCTTCTAAGCAACTGGTTTCAATGTCTACAAAACCAACAAACAGCATCACATTATTCAGGGCTAATATTTATCACGACAGTCGGCGTCCAATTCAGTGGTATCCAACCTTGGCAACTTTTAAGACCTGTGGAGTTCGGCTCCCAGAATTCCCCCGCCAGCCGTTGGTGCTTGGCACTACCTTATAAGACTGCACTGTGGAATTTACTCTTGGTCTGACCATTAAATATTATACATAATAAATGCACACACAAAATTAGCTAGCATGGTGAATATGAAAAATGATCCATTGGCTATTGAGCATGCCCTGACTTCACTGGGATCCTTTTAAACTGTGTATATGTATATGTATACATGTATGTATGTATACGTACATACATATGCATGTATATCTATGTAGGTCTTTGGTTATTCGGGTTTTGTCCCGCATCAAATTGGAAGTGTCTTGGCGACGTTTCGACGAAGTCCCATTCGTCATCTTCAGGCTGGTGTTTTTGGCTTCGTGCTTCTAGGAGCAACATTACTCCTAGAAGCACGAAGCTGAAAATGCCAGCCTGAAGATGACGAATGGGACTTCGTCGAAACGTCGCCAAGACACTTCCAATTTGATGCGGGACAAAACCCTAATAACCAGAGACCTACATACAAACACCCGCGAAAACCTCAGAAAACACACATACATACACACACACACACACACACACATTTCTTCCTAAATATCCATGTGCTGTTTCAGACTTCATTATTCCTCTGTCAAGAGAATCTTAGCCTTTATGAATACGATCAGTCAAGTCTTTCCTATAGATTCTTCCTTGAAACTGTTAAAGGAACTAGGAAAATTAAAGGAGACCTACCTAATATGCAGAATACATCAGCCAGAATGGAAGGCATATCATCCCGAAATTCCTGTTAAAGGAAATTATTAGTTGAGAAACATTTTTTTTTTTAAAAAAATACTCTGATTGGGACCTGCAGTTAAGGTCGACTGACACAAATCTGAGGCTGCCCAAGGCTTATCTCAACTCAACTACAGGTTATCCTCGACTTACAACAGCTTGCTCAGTGACCGTTCCAAGTTACAATGGCACTGAAACAAGTAACTCATGACCCCTTTTCAGACTTACGACCGTTGCAGCCTCCCCACAGTCACGTGATCCAAATTCAGACGCTTGGCAATTGACTCGTATTTATGACGGTTGCAGTGTCCTGGGATCGTGTGATCCCCTTGTGCAGCCTTCTGACAAGCAAAGACAACGGAGAAGCCAAATTCACTGCGGCAAAAGTTGCTTCAACGTCTTGCTGAACAACAGAAATTTTGGACGCGGTTGCGGTCGTAAGCCGAGGACTCCCTGTATATCAGCAAATGGCTTCTTAAAGAGGTCATCAGCCACAAACCATTATCACACACGAACTGGTTTGAGAGTTTAAGAGTGACAGCTGCCTCAAGAAACGCCACCCCGAAGAAGTAAATAAAATAACTCTGTGGCCTGCTCTTAGAAGAAAGTAAATTACAATTAAAAACTGACTTTAATGGTAAAGTGGAGTGTGACTGCGTATTTAACTATCGTTTCTAAATCAGGAGCATTTCAAAGTGTTTGCCTTAAGCAGGGCTGTTTTTCCAACTGCTTTGATTTCCAGTCTAAGACCCAGTGACAGTGACTTAATTAAAGTGTAGATCTGAAGTGTTAATCATAAACCACGGCAGTGTTTCCAAGTCCCCAAAGCTAAAACAATATAATTATGTCACAATGGACAGGAATCAGTAACAGCTTCTAGGGGAACAGGCTAAAGTTAATAGGTTAGCCATCCAGTCTTCTCCTTAGAGCGTTCTGTCCCAGCCTCTTGAAAGAAGAATTACCCAAGAACTTCATTTTCTAGTCTATTCAGTTTCCTTCTCAACATTTAAAACTAACTTTTTTGCACTGTCAGGTTTTTTTGTGGTTTGTTTGCCACCAAAGCTAAAGCAGCATGATAGGTTTAGGGTGCTCTTCTTCCATCTGGGCACCTTGCAAATAAGTTCAGGCTGCAACTATCAGAATGTGATCAACATCCATCCTGGCTGAGAACTTGGGGAGGTTACAATTCCCACTTATTTATTTAGTGTATGGAGATGTTAGCCAGGAGAGTACAAGACTAATTGCAGAGTAGTAGTTTGGCTGCCTAAGACTCCTAGCTTGTGCAGTTCCCAAGATGCCGCCATGGGGAGGGGGGGGGCAGCTAGCTCCGGACCAGAAAGACGAGTGGCTTTCCTCCAGCATTATCCGGGGTCATCTCCTTCCACCAAAGCCACCTCGCAAAATATGTGCTGCAACCGGGAAGGTCCAGCACCAACAGGGTTCTGACTGTACGCACAAAGTGCGGGTTGTCTCCCCACCGAAGTGATACCTATTTATCTACTCGCTTAGAACATCTTTTCGAACTGCTAGGTGGGCAGAAGCTGAGGCAAGTGATGGGAGCTCACCTGCCACGTTGTGCTAGGACTCGAACTGGCGGAGAAAAGACCACCTCCAGCACCATTAAGCCACTGATCCAACGGGCCTACAATTTCCACTAAACTGGAGAGGGTCAGGCTAAAGATGGTTGCTTCAGGAAGTAGTAGAAATAAATACTTACTATAATATCACCGAGAACATTTGATGCTTGGTCATGCTTTAGATTTCCCTTAACAACATGATACGTAAGCTCATAGAGAGCCTTCTGGATACCTGTAAAACGAGACAAAGGGGGACTGAATAATGCAATATATTCAAAAGAATATTGCTGATACATATTTAAGACAGTATCATGTTTCATTAATTTAAGTCATTTCTAATTATTTCTAAGTTGCAGTTGATGGTTACAGAAAGATATATAAGTCAGATTTTTACAGTTTGATCTCAGTTACAAAAGCCCCAAGACTTTTACTCACCTCTAAAAGTTGCATTTTCAGAAAGAATGCGACATAGCTGCAAGCTGAAAGGAAATGAACATTGTTTAATATCCAGAATTGATAGTTTGCCCACTGAAATATATTCTTGTGGCTATGCACAATATTTTAAAATCAAAAGGAAAACAATTAAGTTAATTTCCTGCAAAAGGATGCCATTTAATAGCTACCTGTTTGTGGCTGATTAAATGTCATAATACACCAGACCATTACATTATTATAGTCTGTAATTCATGAAAACACATTCCTTTTTAATAAATATATTCAGACCTAGGAAATGTTTAAAAGAAAAAAGAACTGTGCCTTTTGATAGACCCAACTGGTCTGCTTACTCCCTTAATATTTTGAATATAGAGTTTAAAAGATGACCTAAAGCTAATGAACAATTTAGATTAATTTTAAGTACTGTAGCAGAATGGATACATACTGGAGATACTTTTTAAAACACTGTTAAAATCTTATTTCTTTTTGAAGTGAATAAAAATTTTGTGGAGTTTTTATTACAACTTCACCAGCTGGAAAACATTCCTAATTACAGAATGCTATAAAAACCTAAACATTGGGAGAATTGCTTATTTTTAGATTAAGTTTTAATGATTACATTTTCAGTTGCATTTTTATATTAGACATTTGATCTGGGCAACGTACTTTTAAAAGGCGTTGATTCAAATGGTACATCTATGTACTCAATGCTTTGAAGGCTTGAACAATGTTTTTTTAAAGTAGTAAATCCAAAATTTGAGCTCTTAGGCCCAATTTGAGGTTCAGAAATTAACACTTCACTATAAAGGCCAAACGTTTAATGATGAAGAACTGTGGATTTTCTAAATTTTGAATCACAGGCAGTTTCTCAGAGATTCTAAGAATCTGCTAGCAGTGTTTAAGCAAATTAGTGCTTAAAGACAAACTCATACAGTTTTTAAGTTTTGTGCCAAGTGAATTCGTCTATAAGCAGTAATTCTAAACAAGCCAAGCTCTTTTCTGTTAAAAGGAAGGGTTTTTGGGACATTCTTTCCTATAAACTAAAATAAAATCAGCATCTGCCTGGACTCTCATTTCTTGCTGTAATAAGTACTAAAGAAAAGTAGTGAAACTGACGGTCATGTAAACTTATGGAGGAATTGCTATTAATCATAGCCAGTCACTACTTATAGCAAAATTTACAGAGGTCCTCTAAGTTCTATTAACTGACAAATTAGTTAGCAAAGAGGCTGGGTGAAAAAAAAAAAAAACAAGGGCCTTTGAAGCATTTGAGTGGAGCTTGACCCAAAGTTGCTTTGAAGTTTCATTATTGTGAGCCTGATGCAAACAACAAATAAAGACCCACTCTTAATTTCCACCAGATGAATACAATGACTGAACACGAAAAGGTAATCCTCGACTTACAACCACAACTGAGGCCAAAATTTCTGTTGCTACGTGAGATAGTTGTTAAATGCGTTTTGCCCCATTTTACAAACTTTTCTTGCCAGCGTGGCTAAATTCTAAATGAACTGTTGTAAGTCAAGGGCTACCTGTACAATGACTGAACATGACGAGGGGCGACAGGATAACAGTGTTCCAATATCTCAGGGGCTGCCATAAAGAAGAGGTAGTCAAGCTATTCTCCAAGGTGCCTGAAAACAGGACAAGAAGCAACGGATTGAAACTAACCAAAGAGAGAAGCAACCTGGAACTAAGGAGAAACTTCCTGACAGTTAGAACAATTAACCAGCGGAACAGCCTGCCTCCAGAAGCGGTGCATGCTCCAACACTGGAGGTTTTTAAGAAGAGACTGGACAGCCATTTGTCCGAAAAGGTATAGGGTTTCCTGTCTGAGCAGGGGGTTGGACTAGATGACTTCCAATGTCCCTTCCAACTTTATTATTATTATTATTATTATTATTATTATTATTATTATTATTATTATTACTGTGAAGAAAAAGAGACACAATTGTGCATTCCTCTTGGCTGTTAATTTATACTGTAGGGCTGTAGGATCTGGGATTTTCAAATAACTGGACCCTTCATGTTTATCAATTTTATGTCTTCCATTTCAATTTCCCAACTTCCAACTGCCAGTTCTATTCTACTGTTCTCCCTTCTCTCCATGTTAGCTGAAATGTGCAAACAACAGCATACAATAGAATGCAGAATATAATAAAATAGAATAGAAAATATGTAAAGTAATGTAATGTAATAGAATAGAATACATTTAATGTAATGTAATGTAATGTAGAATAGAATAGAATATAATAGAATAGAATAGAGCTTCAAGGGACCTTGGAGGTCTTCTAGTCCAACCCTGTGCTCAGGCAGGAAACCCTATATCATTTCAGATAAATGGCTGTCCAATCTCTTCTTAAAAACTTCCAGTGTTGGAAGCTTACAACTGTCTTCATTTCAAAACTACCTTAGCAAATGATGAGTTCTGTTAGGTTTGTGACCAAATAATAACAACAACAACAACAATAATAATAATACAGAAAAACAGTAAAGAATTTCTTGTATTAACAATGATATGAACTAATTCAGTATTCTTCAAACCTGGCAACTTTAAAATGTGTGGATTTCAACTCCTAGAATTTGTCAGCCAGAATGGCAACTTTGGGGCTGAAATCCACACATCTTTAAAAAGTCGCCAAGTTTGAGAAGCAATGGATTAGATGGCGTTAGAAAAATACTCTCGGGGATAATATATGACCTTGAGATTACCATCCTGTAAAATAGGAGATTATGTACACTACATGACTTCTTCCATTAGCATCAAATCTTTTAGAAACCTGAAACCTTGCTCGCATTGGAATGGGTTTAATTCTGCTCTTTGTTCTCTTTGAAGATTACACACTTGGATTTTACGTTTTCAACTAAGAAGGACCTACTTACAGTATCAAAATTAAGGGCTATACCTAAAAACACACAGAAGCAATTGTTCAACAAATACTTTTAAAATGTCTAATAACAACATGAAAAGGAATACGTATTTGTCATCCATAGCCTGGTTATGATAAAGAGAAGGCAGTTTTAAACGAAAATGAATATATTTGGACAACACGTTAAAGCCTTTACTAATTCAAAATGAGGGGAAATCAGATAACCTAGTCAGGCCTAAAATTACATGGCTCATTTTAATTACTAGACTTTAGATTAAGAAAACCCCAGTTCTTAGCTAACATTTAACTACTAATGCCACGTTTCCAAACTGTGCACTCTGAATTTCCACAGGTGATTTTAAATTTTCAAGGGAAGTGCAGCAAAACTCAACATCTGTTGCACACCGTGCAAACTGCTAGCCTAACATTACTATGTTTCCTTAAAAAATGTGAAATATCCCATTGGGCCCTGGTAAATTCACAGATGTTACATCTCGGAATTCCCCAAATTGTGCTGTTACACTCGAAGAAACGGGATGTAACACTGAGAACTATAACACACCAAGGGTGACGTGAACCCAGAAAGTTTAGAAACCTCTCTACGAATTCCTTAATGCACAGATTGTAAATAATTGCAGCATGTTCCTTACTGAAATTATAATTGTCAGTGGCTTTAAAATGCCAATTTCCAGCATTAATCTGCATTAACTATATTTAATCTTGAATCCAACACTCTGCACTTTAACTTCCGTATCAATCACAATTATCCTTTTCTGCAAATGAACGACTTCAGAGCCATGTTTTAAGCAAGCGCACGTTGGATCTTAAATTGGCTTCAGAAGTTAAGAGGACAAAAAATAAAGCACACAGGAGAAATGGTAATAAGGGGCACTTGGGGAATACCAACAGTTGTGTTTGTGAACAGAAGAGTTACATAAACAAGTCAATGCTTCTTATCCAGCTTAAATCTCTTTCGAAATGTCCTCCTGCAGAAATATATGCGTGGAAACAGTTTCCATAGCTGGATTTTCTGGTCTAAATCTTGTCACATAAAATTAGATGTCCTTGTAATTCAGAATGATCAGAAATACAGCCAAATGGCAAGACATTGACCAGTCCATATTTTTAAAGCAACTGACCAAAGGAATAATCAAGAAGAACACTGTTACTAGAAAGTACACCATGATTTGGCTTCTGTTTACATGTATGCTTCATGTTTTCTAACCCAAATGTACTTGATACCTCCCTTGGGAAAAAAATCTAATATTATCTAATATATCTTTCCATCTGGGGAATCACTGTTAACGTTACAGTAGGACTGCAAAGAAGTCGGGCATACTATGATTTGAAGAGATTAGTCTACCCTGCTTCATTTTTCATATTAGTTTCTTTCTTACCAATAAAAGCTGTTAAATAACCCAAATGACATGTTAGTATTATGTGCAAACTACATACTTTGGATTGTTCTTGACCAACATGTATATTTTGGGGTCTTTAAAAGGAAAATATTCTGCTTTGCATATCAATCAATCATAGGCAGCCTTGATGAAGAGGAAGAGCAAAGCAGAGTGTTCAAATTTATTTATTCATTATAAGTCTTAATTTCTAAGGATCCCGGCTTTTTGTGAGATGCAGTACAACTAATGAGTTCTCCGAGGATTTTCTTTGCAGACAGATTAAACTGTGGGATTCGTTATCTCAGAAAATGAGACAGGTAACTTTTTTTCTCAGTTGTGGGTAGAAACGAAAAAAAAAAGGGTTATAAATAGTCTATCAATGTATACAACACAACACTTTGATTCTGTTCTCGGGGTTTTACTGGCGATACCTGTATTCCTTTGGTATTCCAAGGTTGCTGTACGTTTGCTATTCACAGCAAAAGGCGGCTTAAAGATATTTCAATTAAATAGAAACTAGCTGGGATTTGAGCACGTTAGGAGTCATTAGCTGTGACTCCTAATGAGCTCAACTGAAGCAGCCATGCTCTGCATGACAATTGCATACGGTAAAATAAATTAAAATTGATACATGGACAAAGTCTCCAAACTATACAGAGGAATGCAAGTTCTACAGGACAATATTGAACACCAGAAAATCCTCATTGAGCTTAACTGGACTTTGTAAGAATATTTTGGATAAAAAAAGAATCCTTTACAGATGTTCTTGTTCCCAGTCCATGATCCTGATTTAAGGGATTTAAGAGAACCACAGAGTTGGAAGGGACCTTGGAGGTCTTCTAGTCCAACCCCGATCAAGCAGGAAACCCTATACCATTTCAGATAGACGGCTTGTCCAGTCTCTTGTTAAAAACCTCCAGTGTTGGAGCACCTGATTTTGTTAACTCCACTGCTGTTAAGACAGGCACACAATCCATTAGTCTTGAAACCCTATGAATCATATTAAGAGGATAACACCAAAGTATCCTTGGAAAGATTTAAAGGCAGGTAAAGAATAGGGGGGGGGAGAAAGGGTTTCTATATACCAGTACTAGCGCTTTATTTTCTTAAGAACATTTTAATACATTGTTTTCCTTTCTGTTGATCTTTTTGTATATATGAAGAAGAAAAAGAAATCCAAAGAAGTGGAGGTCAAAACAGGAAAGGAAAAATGCCATTAGGATAAGCCAAGTGACAGATTTTGGATAAGCCTGAAAAAGGAGACCCAAGAGAGGGGTGGGATGATCAGTGGGCATGCAGAGCTTTTTGGGGGGGGGGGCGGAGGAAGAGAAAGAAAATGGGAAGGGGAGATAAATTAAATGGGGGGGGGGAATGGGGACAAAAATGGGAAGGAGGGAAAGAAAATGGGAAGGGGGAGAGAAGGAATATGGGGAGGGGGGAGAGAAAGAAAATGGGAAGGGGGAGATAAATTAAATGGGGGGGGAGAGGAAGAAAATGGGAGGGGGGCTATTCTAGAGGTCGGAAGGATGAAAGAAGCCTCTGGCTTTCCCAGCCTGGCGTCTTCCCGGCCGGCTGGACTCCAACTCCCAGAATTCCTCCCACCCAAAGCCAAGGGCAATGCGGGCTGGGGATCCTGGGGGCTGTAGTCCCAATGGCCAGGAAGGCGCCCGCCGGGGGAGGCGGCGGCCTTGGGCCTGGGTCTTGAAAGCAGGGAGGAGGCGGGACAAGGGGGGGGGCTCAGCTCGCCCGGACGGACGGACAGACGGCCTAGCCGGGCAGGGGGATCGGCTCGAGGCAGAGGCCGGCCCGCCCGCCCTCCCACCCGCCGCACGGCGCCCTCCCCCGAACTCACAACTCGCTCTTGCCAGATTTCTCCCAGTTGCGGATCCATTCGGCCGGGAGCGCCACCGCCGACGACGTCGCCGCCGCCATCTTCCCCGTGTGGCGCGGAGAGCCCGGATGAGAGAACGACGACGGGCCCGAGGTCAGAGGGGACGGCGGAGACGGCCGCGCCAGGCATGCCGGGAAAGCGAGCCCGCAGCGCTGGAGGAGGAGAGAGAAGCAAGAGGAAAGCGGCGGCGGCGGGGACGTCAAACAGCAACCACAACTCTCCCCCCCAGCAAGCCGGAGGGAGAGAAAGCTGGATAGGTCAACCCAAGAATCAATCCTCAGCCGCTTCTCTCGGCTGTCCGCTAAATCGGGCGCTGGGCGAAGCTTCCGATCCCGGCTCGGGAAACCCGCCTGGCTGGATTGACAGGTCGTAAGCCGGTTTACACAAGCCATAGATTCTCCCGAGTCAAGGGAGCGTGCGTTAGGTTCGTCGGGATGTTGAAGCACCCTATGATATGGGTGGGGGGAGGGGGGTCCGTTACATCCGTGGTTCTTTGTCTCCATCTGAACTCCTTTGGAGAGATTTGGACTTCCAACTCCCAGCGTTGCCGGGCTGGGGGATTCTGGGAGTTTGAAGTTCAAGCCGCTTTAAAAAAAAAGAAAGTGGCTCGGGTTGCAAGACACGCTGCTGCACGCTCGCTGAAGCGTGCAAAACGGATTGGGCTGAGGCCGGTGCAGGGTTCAAATCTAGCCAAACGAGCAGAAGAAAAAAAAACAGGCTTAAGCTTTTATATTGGGTGAATTCACCTTTTTTTGGGGGGGGGGGTTGCGTGTTTTGGGGAGACATCTGGATAGGGTCTCTTTCCATTCAAGCGAACCCCCCCTGCTGTATTGGGGGGGGGTCCTCGTGGGGGGGGGCTTGGGAAGGCAACAGGGTGAATCCCGACGAGCCGGGCATCAACTGGGAAAGCCGCAATTGGCATTTCCAACCAACCAACCCCAACAAATTTGGAGGTCCAAGCTCTCCTTAGCCCCTTCAATGTTTCCTCCCCCCTTTTTGCATTTTTTTTTTTTGCAATCTTGGAAGTTGCCATTCCCAAGGCAGAAAAACAAGGAAGTCCAGTGGCCTTGTGGGGAAAAAAACCCCCCACCTTTGACACAACCAGGACCTGGATTGACTGAGAATCTCCATAGGCATTCCCAAGACCGAGTTTCGGGACAAGAGTCGGGGAGGTCTCACGTGCACCCCCACTCATTCGGTGGGAATAAGCAAGGCTGGGGGGGGGGATCCTGCGCACTGCACCCGTCCCGTTGCAGCGGGCGCCTTCCAGGCTTGGGGGGGGGCTATTGCAAGCTTGCACGTGTGAACGCGCGTCGCCTGCTTCCCGGGTCCGCGGGATCCTCCAATCCGAGTTAAGGGGGTCGGGGAAGCCAGGCAGCAATCTGAGAGGACCCCCCCCCCAATGCATTTCCCGAGGGGACGTTCCGAAGCGCCGCAACCAAGCCGGGACAATCCGCGAGTCCTCCATCCGCCGGGGCGCCCGATCCTCCGGCAGCTCCTCCCGGAGACCGCGGGGAGGCGCTTCTTCCTCCTCGGGGCGGCGGCGGAGGGAAGGAGGGCGGTCCAGCAGCCATTTTCGGGGCGGCCGAGCGCGTTCCCGGCGGAGGGTGGCCCGGACAAGTGGGGTGAGTGGCGGGCGAGGGGCAGGCGGACCCCGCGGGGCGCCCTCTGCGCCGGGAACACCCATCCCCATCCTCCCCGGCCAGGACCCTGCGGGCTGTGGTGCGCGGGCTTTGCAACCCCGCTTCTCTGCAATGCCCGAGCTTGGCTTTTCCTTCGCCCTTCCCAAATGCGGGGTAGCTTGAGGGGCTTTTCCTGCCGTGGGAAGGCGAGAGCTTCCAGCCCCGGGTCCTGCCTCGCTCCCTCTTTCCCCCCCCCCCCGGATCTGGGACTTTTTTTTTGCATTGCAAGGGACGCGTGGGCGCGGCGGGTCGTGGGAATGGCTCCCCAAACGCGGGCAAAATCCCCCCTCGGACGGCTTGAGCCTCTTTCACCTTGCCAAGCCTGGCTAGGTCGAAAGGGAAGGGCGGAAAGCTCGCTAAACCTGGGCTTCCTTGCGCGCTGCTTTCTGCCCGCGGGTTGGGTGCTGTTCCGCGTGGGAACGCAAGCGCCACGCGGGTTCCCAGCTTTGCGTTCGGCGGTAGGTTTCGTTTCCCAGCTTTTGTGACGATGGCCCCGAGGGAAAGAGGGAATGAGAAAGAGAAAGCAAAGTCGGGCCCTTTTGGCCGGCGCAGAGATACCTTGTCGCATGCGGGTGTGTGTGTGTGTGTGTGTGTGTGTTGGCTTGTTCGTGGGAACGCTTTTCCCCTGGGTTGCTTTAACCCTCGAGCTTAATTGAGGGATTTGTGGCTCTAGAGATGCGTGCTTGGCAGCTGTAAATATCTTCAGCTGTAACCCAATGGAGTGGCTGGATAAAGTTCTTCCTGCAATAAAATTGAACATAAGAGATTGGCGGAACTGCCCACGTTTTCATTCCTACACGCATCATTTCCTGCTTTATTTTTTTCCTAAGCGGTCCGTAGAAACTAACACGGCAAGAGGGAAAAAAAAAAACCAACCTTGCAATTCCCCCTTTTTTTTAAAAAAAAATAATAATACGGGGAGGTATGTTAAGGATTTTTTTTTTAAATTAGATTTGACCGGGGTGTCAAAATAAGACTAATAGGGGGGGAAAGGGTGATGAAACAAGCCAACCCATCCCTTTTTTTAGCCACGTGTTAGAGTTTCCTGTAGGAAATTTCCAAATCTTTCAGACTGGCTTTTTCCCCATTTTGTCAGCTGACAAAGAGGGGAAAACAAAAATCTGAAATCTTCAGAATGGTCAGGAGTTGGCGGAAAATGAACTTTGGTCAGCCATTAAAAGAAATGTCGAACTTTCTGCTAGGCCAGCTTTGAGGATGAAGAAGGATGCTTCTTTCAAGGAGCTTTTAAATAAAACAAAATGCGATTTAAAATTTGAAATGCAAAATTAATTTATAATTAATTTAAGCCGCCCAGGGTCACTTTGTAGGGGAGTTGGGCGGCATAGACATTTAATAAATAAATGAAATAAAATATTTATTTTTCACATTTTGGAATATACACACACACAGATGAGAGACAGACAGACAGATTGACTGGGCAGTGTACCAGAAAATGTTAAAATATAAAAAACAGTGTAAAACTATATAAAAAAAATTAAAAGGTAGAAGGAGGCAAGAATGGGTCAACGCTGCTGAAATTAGCTAAAAAGTGGAGAGAGGGCTTTCAGAATTCTAACCAGCCCTATGGATGGTGGTCCTTTTGGCTCACCACACCAGGTTGCAGAGCCATGTTTGTTTGTTTTTTTATATTTTATTAGGTTTTATAAGGATAGGAAAAGAATAGGGTCCGTACGGGTATAGGAAAGGGTAGGAATAGGGGATTGGGAATGGACCAAGGATAGGTACAATGATGGGATTACTGCCAACAAAAATTCCATGCTTAGCAAGCAAATTACCGTCTGGGTATAAATATTGAATAAAGATCACTTATATAATACTAAACAGTTATAATAAACTGGATTAACAATAATCATAAAAATAAAGGATAGTAAATAAATATTATTCATCTTGTTAAATCAAAATAATTAAGAAAATACTAATTAAATATAATCACTAATGCTTAAAATCACATTCATCCAATTTGATTTCAAAGTTTTTTCTCGTTCTAACGTATTGCTAACCATTGATAAATTTTTCCCCATGTTTGAATCCCTCTTCAGAAGGCCAGGAAAATGGGGGCTCACCTCACTTCTGGGGGGGGGAGAGGGCGGGGGCAATGGCAGCAAAGGCTCTCTTCCTGGACCACCCCCCAGGTGGGATGGAGATGTAATGTAATCTCCAAAGCGCCTGAGGGCAGGACGAGAAGCAACGGATGGAAACCAATCAAGGAGAGAAGCAACCTAGAACTAAGGAGAAATTTCCTGACAGTGAGAACAATTAACCAGTGGAACAACCTGCCTCCAGAAGTTGTGAATGCTCCAACCCTGGAAGCTTTTATGAAGAGACTGGACAGCCATTTGTTTGCAGTGTTATAGGGTTTCCTGCCTGAGCAGGGAGTTGGACCAGATGACCTCCAAGGTCCCATCCAACTTTATTATTATTATTATTATTATTATTATTATTATTATTATTATTATTACTATTATTATTGACCATCGCACAGGCAGCCAGATGTTCAGACTGGATTTGGCATTTTGTCTACCTATCGAGTCCTTACCCAGGACCTGGGATAGGCAGATGTGGGTGTTTGATGGTATTACAGATACCGTCGCAGGATGGACGCAGTTCCTAATAAGGCCGCCTTTTGCAATTGACTAATAGCGAATTTGTCAATGCCAATGGTGTTCAAGTGGTGCTCCAGTTGTTTTGGGATTGCACCCAAGGCGCCTATGACTATTGGTACTACCCTTGCTTGCTTTTGCCACAGTCTTTCTATTTCTATTTGTAGGTCTTTGTATTTTGTTATCTTCTCCAGTTCTTTCTCGTCTATTCTGCTGTCTCCAGGCACTGCCACGTCCACTATCCAGACTTTTTTGTCTTTCTTATCGACAATTGTTAAGTCTGGGGTGTTATGTTGCAGGTGCTTGTCTGTTTGAATTCTGAAGTCCCAGAGCAGTTTAATTTTATCATTTTTTATGACTTTCTCTATTTTATGATCCCACCAGTTTTTACTTACAGGCAAATGATATTTTTTGCAGATCTTCCCATGCACCATTATTGCTACTTTGTCATGCCGCTGCTTGTAGTCAGTCTGTGCAATCTTCTTGCAACAGCTTACCAGGTGGTCCACTGTTTCTTCAGCTTCTTTGCATAAGTGGCACTTACTATCTGTTGCTGTCTTCTCAATTTTGACTTTATATGCATTTGTCCTTAAGGCTTGATCTTGTGCAGCCAGATTTAGTTGTTGTTGTTGTTGTTATTATTATTATTATTATCTTTGCAGCGTCACTCTCTTGCTAACCATGCATATGTTTTGCTTATTAGGAAATTTGGAGGAGACTCCTTTCTCAAGAGGGATGACATGCAATGGCCCCGTTTCGGAGGACCCCGCCCAAAACCTGGCTTGGTTGACTTCCAGACTAGGAACCTTTGTCAATTTCCCAAGACACTGTCCCATTCCTTACTCGGTACTCGCCCAGGCAGGCTTCTTCTACACGGGGAAGGGAGACCAAGTCAGATGCTTCAGCTGCCTTGCAACTCTAGAAGGATGGAAAGAAGGGGACTCGGTGGTTGGAAGGCACAAAAACGTTTCTCCAAACTGCCGCATCCTCAACGATTGCAGCTTCGAAGAGCATCGTCTACTTTCTGGCCTCCCAAACGGTCCTCCTGGAAGAGAAGCCACCAGCTCCCTCCCACCCAATTCCGAGCTGTCTTCCGATTTGGAGGCCGATTACTTGTTGAGAACCAGGCAGGTGGTGGATCTCTCTGGCTCCCCGTATCCCCAGAATCCGGCCATGTGCAACGAAGAGGCCCGGCTGAGATCTTTTCACTCCTGGCCTCCTTACGCGCCGGTCACCCCGGAGGATCTGGCCAACGCTGGACTCTATTACCGAGGGGTGGAGGATGAAGTGGAGTGCTTTTGCTGTGGGGGCAAGTTGAAAAACTGGGAATTGGGGGACCAGGCCTGGCCGGAACACCGTCGCCATTTCCCGAGATGCTTTTTCGTCCTCGGACATGATGTGGGAAACGTTGGGACCATTGCAAATCAGCCAGGGGATGCACAGCTGGACAGAAGCAACACCCACAGGGTGCCAGCACGTCGTCCTCCTCCTCCTCCTGCTGCTCATAACCCCTCAATGGCAGATTTTGCAAAGCGCCTCCAGACTTTCGGGGTGTGGAATTACTCAATGAGCAAGGAGTGGCTTGCTCAAGCAGGCTTCTACAGCTTAGGTAAGTGAGGGTTGGGTCTCCTTCACACAATCCCACCCTGCCAAGCCCAACGCACTGCCTTAGAGATAGTCCTCAGCTTAATGGCCACCATTGAACCCAAAATGTCATCGTCATTAAGTGAATTTTGCCCCATCTTACGATCTTGGCCACAGAGGTTAAGCGAATCGCTGCAGTTATCAAATTTAATAGCGGTTAAGGGTGAACCTGCCTTCCCCACGGACTTGGTCATGAAATGGGATGGCCTAGCCCTGGGACGCTGCAGCCGTCATAAGTACGAGTCACCTGAATTTTGATCATGTGATCACGGGGATGCTGCAATGGTTGTAAGTGTGAAACACGGTCACTAAGTCAACTATTTTTTTTTCAGTGATGTTGTAACTTCGGTCACAAAATGAACTGTTTGTCTTGGGAAGGACTATCTAGAGTTGCAGACGAGAGCTTATTTTCGTGGACAAAAAATATGCTTTTCTTCCCCCCCCCCCCCCAGGTATCGGCGATGGTGTGCAATGCTTCTCCTGCGGCGGCGGATTGAAAGAATGGAAGGTTGGTGAGGATCCATGGGAGGAACATGCAAGATGGTATCCGGGGTAGGAAAATTTCATTCTTTTCAAATTCTATCTTGGGTTCAGGGTTGCTTTGCAATATTGTTTACCACAGTGATGGTGAACCTTTATAGAGACTGAGTGCCCAGACTGCAACCCAAAACCCACTTATGCATCGTTGGGTGCCGGGTGGGCGTGGCCCATTGGGTGGGTGTGGCCCATTGGGTGAGTGTGACCCATTGGGTGGGCGTGGCTGTGGTGGTAATGGCAGACTGGGTGGGACTAAAAAGTTCAATCAATCAATTCCAACTTTGCAAGATCTTTTTTTCCCCGCGAGAAATTGAAATTGACTGAACCTTTTTTTTTTTTTTGCACACGGCTCGGAGGCCTAAAGCGAAAAGTTTTTTTTAACCCAGCTGAAGGCCTAGGACTGGGGTGATGGCGCGCGTGCCCACAGAGAGGGCTCTGAGTGCCGCCTCTGGCACCTGTGCCATAGGTTCGCCACCACTGGTTTACCAGATCCTTAGCTCAGGGATATTCAAATCCAGATGTGTCAGAGGTGGAAAGCGTTGGACTCTTTCTAGAGTGCGGAGAAGAGCAACCAAGATGATTAGGGCTTGGGGGCTAAAACAGACCAAAAACGGTTGCAGGAATCAGGTATGTCTAGTTTAAAAAGAAGGAGTAGGGGGTGACACGATGGTAGTATTCCAATTTTTGAGGGGCTGCCCCAAAGAAGAGGGGGTCAAGCTATTCTCCAAAGAATTAATGGAAAGGCTTGCCTCCAGAAGTTCTGGATGCTCCCTCGCTGGAGACTTGAAGTGATGGGATAACCATTTGTCTGAAATGGGGTTAGGCCTTCCTGCTTGAGCAGAAGGTTGGACTAGAAGACCTCGGAGGTCTCTTCCAACTCTGTTAGGCTGGACAACTCTAGCAGGTGTGATGGAACCACGGCTGCGAGTGAGTGGTAGAAAAGGGGAGGCTGCTTTAAAGAGCCAGTGGTTTTACATTAAAACTGCTCATGGAATCATAGGGCTAGAAGGGCGTTAGAGGTCATCTAGGCCACACCCCAGCCCAAGGCAGGAGTCCTTATTCCTCACCTTCATAAGGATGCTTTGGGGGAAAAGCTTTCTCAACAGCCAAAAGCTGCTGAAGTCACCTCACTCATCAGACTTCTTCCGAATCCAGTTTTGAAGGTATGCACAGTCTGTCCAAGCTGCTTGAGGGCAGAATGGGTTGTGTGGGTTCAGTTCAGGGTGGCTTGTTCCCCAAGGAAAACTTAACTTACTGTAATGTGTGAATTAGATGATTGCTTTGTTCAAGGGCCTTCAGCTTGGCTCATTTTGTTCCAACCTTTTGTACCTAGGTGCAAATACCTGGGAGAAGAAAAGGGACAGGCTTTTGTGAACAGGGTTCATTTAATGCCCCAGGAGTCAACTGTAAGTCTGCCTTTTCAGAATGTCTCTCTTTTTGGAAAAAGACCTTCCTCTCCTCTCCCCTTCCTTCCTTCCTTCCTTCCTTCCTTCCTTCCTTCCTTCCTTCCTTCCTTCCTTCCTTCTATCATTCTTTCTCTTTCTTTTCTTTGTCATCCTCTTTTTCTTTGTCTCTTTTTCCCCTCTCTCTCTTTCCTCTCCTTCCTCCCTCCCTCCCTTCCTTCCTTCCTAACTTCCTTCCTCTTTCTTTCTTTCTTTCTTTCTTTCTTTCTTTCTTTCTTTCTTTCTATCGTTCTTTCTTTCTTTTTTCTCCCTCTTTTTCCTCTTTGTCATCCTCCCTTTTTCCTCCTCTCCTCTCCCCTTCCTTCTTTATTTCTATCTATCGTTCTTTCTCTCTCCTTTGTCATCCTCTTTTTCTTTCTCTTTTTTCCTCTCTTTCCTTTCCTCTCCTTCCTTCCTTTCTTTCTCTTTCTTTCTTTCTTTCTTTCTTTCTTTCTTTCTTTCTTTCTAGCGTTCTTTCTCTTTTTCCTCCCTTTCTCTTTTTCCTCTTTCTTTGTCACCCTCTTTTTCTTTCTCTCTTTTTCCCTCTCCTTCCTTCCTTCCTTCCTTCCTTCCTTCCTTCCTTCCTTCCTTCCTTCCTTCCTTCCTTCCTTTCTTTCTTTCTTTCTAGCGTTCTTTCTCTTTGTCTTTTTCCTCCCTTTCTCTTTTTCCTCTTTCTTTGTCACCCTCTCTTTTTCTTTCTCTCTTTTTCCCTCTCCTTCCTTCCTTCCCTCCTTCCTTCCTTCCTTCCTTCCTTCCTTCCTTCCTTCCTTTCTTTCTTTCTATCTATCTATCTATCGTTCTTTCTCTTTCTCTCTTTTCCTCCCTCTTTCTCTTTTTCCTCTTTATTTGTCACCCTCTTTTTTTCTTTTTCTCTCCCCCCCCCTCTCCTTTTTCTTTGCTTCCGCCATGCACTCGAGCCAACTCTGCAGGGACTCTTGTTTTCAGATGAATGTGGATTTTAAATCATGCATGCGCTGAGCCAATTAAATTAGTAGAAAGGCTGGAGTTACTATCCCGTGGTCTCTCCAGCTGTCTTCCCGGGAGCAGATGGCGTTCCCATCCGCAGCTGAAAAGGTTAATTGCTGCCACAGAAAAGGCCACGTTTAACTGACTTGATTCCTGTTTTCCTGTTGATGGTGGCAAGCGGTCTAAGCGATTTGCTCCAGGAATGAATTGGCAAGTGCAAAATTGTGATATTTGTCACTTGAGGGTGTCAGGAGCCCTGTATGTGCGTGCGTATATCTGTCTGTTTAGACGACAGAAGTGGAGGAAGAGAAAAGAATGCACTAGTCCGGATTGAAGGACCTAAGAGATTTATAGGTCAGCTATAAATATTCCCCTTAAGTTTAGGAGCGTCTGCTTGCAAAAGGGGGAAACAATGATTCAGCCGTTAAAGATGCTGAGATTGTCATCTGGAGAGCTGACAGCCCAGATCTGAGACCCTGGCACCGCACAACGGGGTGAGCTCCCGTTCCGTGCTCCAGCTCCTGTCCACCTAGCAGTTCAAAAACATGCTAATGCGAGTAGATAAATAGGTACCATTTCGGTGGGAAGGTAACATTCCGTGCACCTTTGGCATATAGCAGAAATGTCTCCGGACAATGCTGGCTCCCTTGGCTGAGAAACCAAAATAAGCACTGTGCCCTAGAATCCGACACGAGTGACGGGGAAATTACCTTTTTTGCTTGCAAAAGAGCTCCTGATGCTAATATACAAGAGGCAATCCTAGAGGAAAAACACCCAACTCAGCTCTGGAATGTTGTTGTCGGTTCACTTTCCACCATTTTGCTCTTTGCTCCTCCCCTGTCTGAATTTTATTCCTCCAACCACCTCGCAAAATTCCTCTGGGTTGTTTCTCCTTGGGAGCTGAGACCATCTGGCCGTGTGTTGTAAGATCAGCTCCATGTTGGCTCAGCCCCTTCCTCAAACCACATCTCCCCTTCCCATCCTAAATGGAATATTATTATGTAACTTTGTAAGCTAGTATTTCTCAACCCCACAGCTTTTAAGATAACGTGGACTTCAAGTCCTAGAATGCTTTTGGCCATAAAGTTGATTGTTGTTGTTGTTAATTGCGAAGTCGTGTCCGACCCATCGGGACCCCATGGACAACATTCCTCCAGGCCTTCCTGTACCATCTGGAGTCCATTTAAGCTCACGCCTCCTGCTTCAGGGACTCCATCCAGCCATCTCATTCTCTGTCGTCCCCTTCTTCTATTGCCCTCCATCTTTCCCAGCATTAGGCTCTTCTCCAGTGAGTCCTTCCTTCTCATTAGGTGGCCAAAGTATTTGAGTTTCAACTTCAGGATCTGGCCTTCTAAAGAGCAGTCGGGGTTGATCTCTTCTAGGACTGACCGGTTCGAACGCCTTGCAGTCCAAGGGACTCGCAGGAGTCTTCTCCAGCACCAGAGTTCAAAGGCCTCCATTCTTTGGCGCTCAGCCTTTCTTATGGTCCAGCTTTCCACACATTGCAACTGGGAATACCATGGCCTTGACTATACGCACTTTGTAAAGTTGATAGGTCAGCATAAATAAGCTGTAACTAGAAGCTACGGATTGTGACACTCAATCAGGTTTTTCACACGCATTTATATGCGCAGAAATTTGTTTCCTAATCTAGCGCTACATTCTAAAAACCATTTATTTGTTTATTTAGATAGAAGAGCCTGAGGAAGTTTTAGCTGTTGAAGGTACGTATGTACTCTGAAGTATCCCATTGTGATCAGTTTTAATTACTTGATATCATCGTGAGTCAATTCCAAATCTGCTCAATTGCTTAACCTGCATTTTTTTTTTCCGAATTGTGTTTGCCAATGCTTTGCAAAGGAAAAAAAAAAAAATCCAGCAGTTGGTTTAATTTGGCAAAACTTTCAGTCTATTAGTGTAAATTAGTGCTATGTAAGTATTGACCTGATCTTAGGATATTTTAAATTTACAGCCAGAAAATTACTATAAGTAAAATGCTGGACCTTAGAGTGTATTGATTATTTAGAAGGAGACAAGAGTCCTTTTTGCGTCTTATTTTAATTTAATAATAGGGACTCATTGTCAGAAATAATAGGGAGTGATTTTATATCCCTGAGAATGCATAGTTTGGAGATCCTAGCGTAGAAGTGAATATAGTGGTCTGTCCTGTCATTATTCATCAATTAAATGAATAATGGGTTATTTTATTATTTTTAATTTGTTATTATTTTTATTTCTTTTATACAATGTTTTTATTTCCTGTAAGCTGCCTTTGAGTGGCCGTGATCAAGTAGGGATCACTTGACCGCGGGAACACAGCAACCATCATAAATATGAACCGGTTGCCGAGCATCCCAATTTGGATCACATGACCACAACGGTCGTAAGTGTGAAAAACGGCCGTAAGTCACTTTTTTCGAGGGTAACTTCGTACGGTCACTTAAATGAACTGTTGTTAAGTCGAGGGCGGCCTGTATTTTTGAGTTTCGCGTAAGGTGTGAACGCAGCTCTGTTCTTAACATTCCTAGCCGGGTCGTCTTGCTTTCATGAGGTTTTTTTATGTCTCTCATTTTGCAGACGAAGAGCATCTGCAAAGCCGGTTGACCCAGACCGCGTTGCAAATGGGATTCAGCGCGGAGGAAATTGGCAAAATGGTGGAGAGGAAGTACCGCCTTTCGTCCGAGCGCTACCGGTCGGTTGAGGCGTTGGTCACAGACCTAATCGGGGCCCAGAGGGAAAATACACCCAGCACGTATTTAGAAAACCATCTGCAGAAAGGTGATTGTTGTAGATCCCAGTGCCTGTGTGTAGACTAAACCCAATTATGCTACGCAAGGAAGGGATTAGGATAAACTCAGTTTGGGGTCGGAAGCTTTGTTTGGGAGGGTGTCAGGTGTTAAAAGCTTGGAAAGATTGGAGACATGCAACTATTTGCCTTGATGCCCGAAATGGACAGGGAATCCTCAGCAACCATGTGATCCAAATTCACACGCTGGGCAACTGCTTCGTATGTATGACGGTTGTGCAAAGTCAATGGGGGAAGCTGGGTTCACTTAACAGCCCGTGTCTTTAATCTGACAACTGCAGTGGTCCTGAACTGCGGTGGCAAGGAAGTTCGTAAAATGGAGCAAAGCTCACTTAACCAATGTCTCACTTAACAGCAGAAACGTTGGGGTCAATTGTGGGTCGTAAATCAAGGGCTACCTGTAATTGTAAGTTTTTTTAAATATATTTTATTGGCTTTATAATTTTAACAAAAAGTATTTGAGACACACCGTGGTGTTTGGGTAAACAAAGATTCCAACATAAAATCACAGAATAACAGTTCAACTTAATACATTCGCTATCATCTCTCTATTTTCCTCAAATAACATAATAAATTTAATACATTTCATTTCTATCCTAAATTTCTATTGCTACTAAACCTGTTTATTAAAAGCTTATCAATTTCAATTGCCATAATCAAATAATGTTTTACATCAACATATTACCCCTTCAAATATCTCTTGCAAATATATTCAAGTTCTTAATCTCTCTCATCCCTTTTTTTATCACCAATCTTATTTATTTCTTCTTCCAATAATAGCTAATTTAATTTAAAAAAAGACAATATTATCATATCTTATCAAATCGTATTATTATACACAAATATCTCTTAATTAATTAAACACTGTAATTGTAAGTTTTATGGCAGATCCCAGTTTGATGACTCCCACTTGCTGGAAGTCCAGTAGGTTCTCTGTTGCCAACTCTTAACAATTAATGGCGCCTAATGAAGGTATCTCATGTCTATGGAGATCCTCAGTCCTCCAAGTCCTGGTTGTCCCAAAGTTGCTTTTTCAAGAAGCAACTGGACTCTTGTTTTTCTTTGAAGACGTTTTACTTCTCATCCAGGAAGCTTCTTCAGCTCTGACTGGAGGGTGGGGAAATGGGAGGATTTATACTCCTTGCAGACAGCTGGAGTAGAAACCCATCAGGATAAGATTCAGCAGTCCATCTGCATTTAAAAGACAAAAGCTGCTGTTTCGAAGACAGCAAAGTCCATATTTGGCACAGAGAGGACATCTGGTTTGAAATGGGGGGGGGGGCAAAGAGGCCATCTAGGTCAAAATTGAACAGCCCTCTCTCAACAGAAGGGGAAGGGATAAGACATCATCTATTTCCAGTCTACAACACGGTCCTTTCAGCAGCTCCAAGAAGGCTCCACACCCATCTGCACTACTCGGGTGACCCTGAGGACACAGATAAGCCTCCAGGTGGCCTCAAGAACTCTCTAAAACAGTGGTTCTCAACCTTTTTAATGCCGCGACCCCCAACCGGTTGTAAGTCGAGGACTACCCAACTGGTCAGAATGGGACTTTTGGTGGGCTCAGCAGGGCAGAGACAGCCTGGACAATTCCTATTGGCTTTTGAAAGCCAATGGAATTAGACTCTATTCAAGAGGTTCTATTCTATTGGCTTTCAAAAGCCAATAGAATAAAAGGGAGTAGCACAGCTAAGGAAAAGGGGGAAAAAATGGCGGACTGCGTTGCTTGGCGACCCCCGTGAAATGGTCGTTCGACCCCAAATGGGGTCCTGACCCACAGGTTGAGAACTGCTGCTCTAAAAGAAGGCAAATGATTGGCGGTCTGCAAGGAGTATAAATCCTTCCATTCCCCACCATCCAGTCAGAGCGGAAGAAGGTTCTTGGATGAGAAGCGAAACATCTTCAAAGCACAACAAGAAAGACCAGTTGCCTACTGGAAAAGCACCTTTGGGATAAGGCATCTCATGAAATCTCTCCTTTTTTTCCCCACCCAGCAGATCTCAGTACAGAAGAAAAGCTGAAACGTCTGGAGGAAGAAAAGATCTGTAAGATCTGTATGGATAAGACCCTCTCCATGGTCCTCATTCCTTGCGGGCACGTGGCCTGCCAAGACTGTGCGGAGGCGGTTGAAAAATGCCCCTGGTGTTCTAAGGTCATTGCAAACCGGCAAAAGATCTTTATGCCCTGATAGGATTTGCCAGTTGTGGGAGATTCCACTCAAAACAAAAGAAAACCAAAAGCTGACCCAGATTCGCAGGTGTCGCCTCCAAAATGGATTTAGCGAGAATCAGCTCTTAATTGGATGCACCGGGTTGTGTGGTATGAATCACCGAGAGGGTGTTGATTGGATTTCAATCCTACTTATTAATTGTAGGGACTTTTAATCCGAGCGCCTGAATTGGAGAGCTTGCAATCGGGTGGGGGTGGCCAGACTCTTTTCAGTGTTTTGTCATGTTTTCAGTTGTGGAGAATATCTTTAAGGATTGTTTCCCCCCCCCCTTTGTAAAGTTTATAGCCGAACACACACAAGGACCCCCAAGAACTTGACAGGGGTGGGCAACTCCGCTCGCTTGACCCCCTGTGGACTTCAATTCCCAGAATTCTTGGCTCAGGAATTCTGGGAGTTGAAGTCCACAGGTCGTAAAGTGGACAGAGTTGCCCACCTCTGCGCTAACCAGATCTTCTTTCCCCCCTTAAGACCGTTAGCGTGGTTAAACTTGCTCCTGAAAGTTACGTTCTTTTTATTACGTTGGCATGCAATACTAGTAACTCTCCAGATTTCTGCCCATCCCTGTTGCAATCTGAAGCAGTATAAGCCAGACAGGTCAACAGTTTAGCGGAAAGCAGCTGAATGGAAAAGGGTGTGAAGGATATTTCAGAAGAGGTAGATCTTGTACGTCTCTGGTTTTTTTCCCCGTCCATTCAAAGGGTAGGTTTTTTTCCAAGGCCAGCAGCACCAATAACACAACTTTACAAATCAAAATCCCCTTTCCTTGCTCTGTCTCTAGGAAGCAAGGTGCCAATCACGTGGCTTTTTGGTTGACCTGACCATCTTAGCTGCAGAAAAGATGCAATTACTTTCACGATATCCCTTTGTGTCCCAGTTCAAGGCTCATCTGGGTGCTAGCGTGATCTCCATAGGTGGAGTAACTGGGATTGCAGAAACTAGGATGGAAGCCCACAACCTGATGTTAGTTTCACATTCCAGTTTGCACAAAGGCATCGTAACGTATGCTTTGGGATCCAGATGTCGTGGCAAAGTTCTGACTTTGGGTAAAGAGACACACATTAGTTTTAGATAAGTTTGCATGTCCTTGTTCATTTTCCTCTGTAGATTAGTGTCTGCTCATGTATCACACTAATCTACGGAGAAAAATCATTTATGTGTAGAATTGAGCTGCTGTCTGGTATACCAGGTTCTCCTCTGAAATAAAGGATGCATTGGGTAGATTGTTGATATTGGTATATGTGGCTTTGAGATAACACTAATAAGTGGAGGGAATACCTGAGAAATGGATGCAATCCTTTAATGTAGACGTTGAGACACAGATTATCTGCATTTCCCCCTTGCACTAGTATTACATTAGGTAGCAAAACATAAGCTGAAGGTAACATTAATTGATTCCAATCCCTGTTGCCTCTTTATAGAGGAAAGAGTGAGAACTGGCTAATGCATTTCAATTCCAGAAGAATAAATGTGACGGTGGTTTTTAATTTTACTTCAGGGACTCCTTTCTGAAACTCACTCGTAGGATGCAAAATCTCTCAAGCACCCGAGGATAATAAATCCCCTTTTGAGATTAAATTATTCCTCCTCTTCCTAATTTTGTTCTCCTCAATCAGGGAAATCAACATGCTTAGATACCTTTTTTCCCAGTAATAAATCTGTATTTTGTGATTGCCATCTTGCCAAAACGATTTAGCTGTTTTACCTTACTTTTTTTCCTTTTTCTTTTAAATGCTGCATTTTATTTATTTACATATTTATTTGAAACTTGTTTAAAAGAAACACTTTTGTGGCACAAACCAAGACGGCTAAATGGGCGTCATCACGAAGCACCACGGAGAAGGCTTTGTTGTGGTCTCTGTTGCAGAAGGGTGCCTGGGTGCGTTTGCTGGGGAAGCTGCTTTGTGTTTGGGCTTTGTGTTTGTTGAACATGACACTTGCAGTTCAGCCCAAAGGGGTAGATTTACAACTTCTGCTGACACTTGGGGGAACCAGAAACTGACATTTTGAATTCAGAATGCTGCTAAACTCACTCAAACTCACTTTCTTTCCACTTAGCAAGGCCAGATAGCCTTGGGGGGGGTGTGTTAAGCTCCTGGATAGTTGCCGATTTTTAAAAAAAAAAGTTTTAATTTGTTTTTTTTGTGGAACGTTCCCTGATCTGCCCCACTTATTTTATAGTTATTTATAAATGGCATAATTTGAAGAGGATCTAACGCAGCTCTTCTTCCTTGTGGCGAGATCTGAACTAAAGAAAACCTCACCGATTAAAAACAGGCAAAGAGTTGTGTTGGGGTGTGTGTGTGCGTCAACTGTTGTTCCTCCGACATCTTTGTGGGTTTCGTTTTAATCCCTTTGTTCACGTAGAGAATAACAAGAGCTTGTTTTACATGGGAAGCTATTTGGGGCTTTTTCTTCACGATAGTTGATCTTTTTTTTCACCTTTTTTAAAAAAAATGTCACAAATGCATCTGGGAAATTTTTATGAGCTATGCATATGTTGCGTGTAAATCCACACTGAAATAACGGAGCTTTGGAATCAAGGGGCTTAATGACTCGGGTTGCAAATAATAACTGTTGATCTTTGACAGCAAAAATTGAAATTGTTGACTTTGAGAAGCTATATTCCAACGTGTTAAGATTTATTTTTTTAGACGTACTATTACTTAACATAATCATAGAATTGTTTTGCAGTTGAACTCAAGTGATTATTTTTAATAAAGTGATTTATTATTTTATATTCTGAATGTTTTTCTTTTGACTTAGACACAAGCCCAGTTAATATGCTTGAGCCCTGTCTCTATCCATCACTTTATTTTTCCATCTTTCTCAAGGATCTAATTTATATTTCCGTTTTTCTCAAGCATTTAATTCATATATTATGCTAACCTATGGATTACTGGAACGAATTCAATTAGATAGTTAAATCATAATTAATCAGAATAGAGCTGGAAGGGACCTTGGAGATCTTCCAGTCCAACCCCTTGCTCAAGCAAAAGATCCTATATTATTTCAGACAAGTGGCTGTCTCTTCTTAAAAACTTCCAGTGATGGAGCACTCACAACTTCTGGAGGCCAGTTGTTCCACTGGTTAATTGTTCTCACTATTAGGAAGTTTATCCTTAATTCCAGGTTGCTTCTTTCCTTGATTAGTTTCTATCCATTGTTTCTTGTCTTCTGGTGCATTGGAAAATATGGTGACCCCCTCTTACTTTGTGAGAGTATCACAGCCGCTACATATACATATACCCGTAGCCACTACGCAATCTTTACAGTATATAGTATGAAGGAATTCTTTTCCAATGGAGAGAATTGGAGGCTTTTAAGAAGGAATGGACAGCCCCTTGTCTAGAATGGCATAGCTTGAGCAAGGGGTTGGACTAGAAGACCTCCAAGGTCCCTTCCAACTCTGTTATTCTGTTAATGACTTAGAGGAGGGAATTAAAGGGGAACTCGTCAAATTCGCAGATGACACCAAACCGGCAGGAGTAGCCAACACCCCAGAGGACAAACTCCAGATCCAAAAAGATCTTGACAAACTTGAACAATGGGCCCTATCCAACCAAATGAATTTCAATGTGGAGAAAAGCAGCGTTTTACATTTAGGCAGGAAAAATCAAAGGTACAAGTACAGACTGGGCGAGACCCGAGTCAAAAACAGCAACTGTGAGAGGGACCTTGGAGTCCTAGTGGATGATCACTTGACTCCGAGCCAGCAGTGTGCAGCAGCAGCCAAAACTAATACAATCCTGAGTTGTATAAACAGGCATAGAATCAAGATCACACAAAGTATTAGTACCGCTTTATAAACCCCAGTAAAACCACACCTGGAATACTGCAGCTAATTTTGGTCACCATAACACAAAAAAGATATTGAGAGTTTGGAAAAAATTCAGAGAAGAGCAACTAAGATGATCAAAGGCCTGGAGATTAAAACATAGGAAGAACTGCGGGACTTGGGTCTGGCTAGTCTAAAGAAAAGACGAAATAGGGGAGATATGATAGCAATATTCCAGTATTTGAGGGCTGCCACAAAGAAGAGGGGGGTCACATTATTCATCAGAGGGAAGGATGAGAAACAATGGTTGGAAACTGACCAGAGAGAGAAGCAACCTGGAATTAAGGACAAACTTCCTAAGAGTGAGGACAATTAACCAGTGGAACAGCTTGCCTCCAGAAATCATGGGTGCTCCATCACTGGAGATTTTTAAAAAGAGGCTAGACAGTAACCTGTCTGAGATAGCATAGGTTCTCCTGCTTCAGCAGGGGGCTGGACTAGAAGACCTCCAAGGTCCCTTCCAGATTCTATTCTATTTTCTATTCCATTCCATTATTTTCTATTCCATTCCTATTCCTATTCTATTGCTCAGTATGTATAGTATTGTAGAGGTAATGCACAGATCTTGCTTTCTCCACTAGCAGGTGACTGAAAAGCACTATAGACCTCCATTAATGGCATGTATGGCATGTAGAATTGCTGATCACAACAGCAATGAGGTGTATAGATTGCGGCATTCAGCTCACTTAAAGGATGTTTGACTGTTATTGCATGACGGCTGTGAGTAGATTTATCTGCCCGAAAATAAAGGCCTTGACTCATTATTTAAATGACAAAAAATAAAAAATGCAGTTGGAGATCAAATCATGCCACATTACGTGATTCAGAGGCTCAACAGGCAATGCTGCTTTTAACTAGCTGTGAATCCTATCGGGTCACGGCCTAATTGCAGAGTTTGAAAACACGAGCCGTGCGCTGAATGTGCTGCTTCCTTTTTTGAGAGGCTGCTGTGGTCAAAAAAAAGAAGAGTTGCTTGAAAAAACGTTAGAGGGGAACAGCTGTAGGGGAAGACAACAGAAACTACCGGATTAATAATAGGCAAAGAGATAACTTTTGGTATCTGCCAGACTCTTAGTCATTGATCAAGCAACAACCCCCTCCCAAAAAAAACCACCACCCAATTCAGGTAGTCCTTGACTTAAAAACCATTTGTTTGGTGAGCCTTCAAAATAACAAGGGCACTGAAAAAAGTGACGTCTGACCTCTTTTCAGACTTACACCCACCGTGGCCTCCCCAATTGTCACTGCAAAACGCTTGGCAGCTGGCATGAACTAAGGACGGTTTACACCAGTGTTTCTCAACCTTGACAATTTTAAGGTATGTGGACTTCAACTCCCAGAATTCCACAGCCAGCAATACTGGCTGTGGAATTCTGGGAGTTGAAGTCCACATGCCTTAAAATTGTCAAGGTTGAGAAACACTGGTTTACACGGTCCCAGGGTCACCTGATCACCATATGCAAAGCTTTCCAGCTGGCTTCCAACAACCAAAGCCAGTCAGGAGGGAGAAGCCATTGAGCAACCGCATGACTCACTTAACCGCTGCAATGATTCGTTTAACAGCTATGGCAAAGATCATAAGCAAGGCTGGCTAGGGAATTCTGGGAGTTGAAGTCCAATCCTTCCCCCCCCCCCTTTAAAGGTGCCAAGGTTGATAAAACCCTGCTCTGGAGGAAGCTTTGATTGCAGCAGCTCGATTACACCTGAAGCTGCTTCCAAAGCCAAAAAGCCCCCCCCTCTTTTTTGCCCCCCCCTTGAGGGGCCAGCCCCCCCCCCTCTCCCAGGGCGCTACGTGCCGCTCAGCACTCCCTGCGCTCTCCAAGGGAGAACAGGCATGGGCGGGACCTTGAGGGCCGATGACGTCACAGCGGGGAGGAGGGCGTGGCGATTCGATGGACAAGGGGCGGGGAAAAAAGACAGCGCATGCGCGGCACCTTGTTTACCCCGTTTCTCAGCCAGCCCGGACCGAGCACAAGGGGCCGTTTGGCTGAGCGAGCGTGCGCGCGCGCGCTCTTTCCTTCCCTCCCCCCCCTTCCTGCATTCCTGAGTCCTCCCAGCAGGTGCCGCTCTAGGCCCGGCCGAACGTGGCGAGCTCGGTGGCCGCCAGGTGGCGCCTGCGCCCTCCATTCCCTCACCAGCCACCGAGCTGCGAACACCCCAAACAATCCCCAGCGCCGCCGCCACCGCCGCCGAATCGACTCCTCCGCCCGCCTCGCTGCCCTCCTCCCCGCGCTCACACCGGGAGAGAGAGAGCCCCCCTCCGCCGCCGCCCTTTCCTCCAGTAGGCCTCGCTTCGGCCCTCCTCCTCCTCCGGCGGCCTGTTGGATTATTTCCCGCCGAGCGGGCCTCACTCAGGCCTGGGAAGTGTCTGAGGTAAAAGAAGACGCCGCCGAAGCAGCAGCAGCAGCAGGAGGAGGAAAAGGCAGAGAGCGAGTTCGCGCGCGGCCTCCCTCGGCTTCTGGGAAGAAAGCAAGGCCGGAAGGTCGACGGCGGAGGCGCGGAAGGGCGGGGGAAAAAGGCGCGCGGAGGAGCCCCAGGCGGGCCCGCTCGGCCAGGCCTCCCTCCCTCCCTCCCTCCCTCGCCAGGCAGCCACTCCGGGCGACGCGGGGGTAAGTTGCACCGCGGCGTCGAAGCGGCTTCACGAAGTCGGGGGCGCTTCCCTCCCCCGTCTCCCCCGCGTGGACGGGCAGCCCCGGCCCGGGCGGCTTTCGGCGCGGCTCCCTCCGGGCCTGGGTGCGGGCGGGCGGGCGGGGGAGGGAGGGAGGCCCAGCGCAGCTAGGCAGGCAGGCAGGCAAGATGGAGGACGCGGGGCCGAGCAGGCCGGCAGGAAGGCGCCCAGCAGGCCGCGGCGGCGGCGGGAGGGGGTTCCCCAAGGCCGGAGCCCTCTCGCTCGCCCGGCCCCCCGGCCCCGCCCGCCGCCGGGAAAGGCCTGGGCCGCGCCGCCGCCGCCGCTGCCGCTGGCCGAGAAAATGAAGACGCTTCCCGGTCCCCCCCCCCCGCTCGCTCTCTTTGGGGGAGGAAGGGAAGCGGAAGCGGGGCAGCTGGGCCTCGGCCTCGTTCCTTGCCGGGCACACGGCTCTGGCCGCCCCGCGGGGCGCTGGGCTTGGGGATACGCGTCAGCCCTGGACGGATACACACGCGCTGTGTACACAGACAGACACGCGCTATCCCGGGGGGGGATGCGTGCCGGGTATCCCCACGCGCGGAGGCGGGCCGGGGGTGGGGGGTGTCGGGGCCAAAGGGGGAAGGAGCGGCGGGGATTCGTATCCTCGGCCGCCAAAGTCTTTTTCTTTCCTTCCTTCCTTCCCTTTCTCCCGCCTTTCCTTCCTACCTACTTCCCTTCCTTCCTTTCCCCTCCTACCGTTCTGTTTTTCCTTTCTTCCTCATCTATTTTTCCTTCCTCTTTTCCTTCCTCCCTCCCTCCTTTCCTCACTCGTCTATTTCCTTCCTTTTTCCCGCCTTTCCTTCCTACCTACTTCCATTCTTTCCTTCCTTCCTTTTCCCTCCTACCGTTCTGTTTTTCCTTCCTTCCTCATCTATTTTTGCTTCCTCTTTTCCCTCCTCCCTCCCTCCTTTCCTCACTCGTCTATTTCCTTCCTTTCTCCCGCCTTTCCTTCCTACCTACTTCCCTTCCTTCCTTTTCCCTCCTACCTTTCTGTTTTTCCTTCCTTCCTCATCTATTTTCCTCCCTATTTTCCCTTCTCCCTTCTTTCCTCACTCATTTCCTTCTTCCTCCCTCCCTCCAGACTTGCTTTCCTTTCCTTCCCTTTCCTCCCTTCTTTCTTCCCTTCCTTCCTTCGAGGGAAACAAGGGGCTCTCGGGGTCCTTGACAGCCTCCAAGGGGGAAAAGAGTTGTTATTGGGGGGGGGGATTTTGCCTGCCCCCCTCCCAAGAGGCCTG